CCCATAAATATTACTCCAGTTATCTGCAGTGATGTGTGGGTTACTTATATCCACACAAGTAGAATATTATGATGATCAGGTATTGAATGTAATTAGAAAGTCGATAACGAAAGAACGGAAACGAAACGCAATCGTTATGAAAATGTATGAACTATAATAATCAATGACGATGGACAGATATTTTCAGAAGGAACGTTCAAGTTTGAGACAATTGATTGTTAGTTTGCATGTTAACTGTTTACTGTGTGATCGTCAGATTTTAGTGAGATATTCTGTAATTTGGTACCTGAATTCATTCGATTGTCCCCACTAGTGTTCTTCTTCACTACACTAGGACCAGGGAAAAAATGTTAGTGACGAACTATCCAATTATTTACTCGCTGAAAAGTTTATCTGCGATTCTCAACACGGAATTCTTAAAGATCGATCTTGTTTGACATGCCACTTTGATTTAGTCCTTTCTCAATGTAACCAAAGATATCTAGTTTTCGTGCTACACGTTGACATTCCTAAATGGTTGTAAATGGCTGACCACCAACTTCTCATAGACTTGCATCTTACGAGGTCTAAAAATCTCTGCTTGCTTGATTTGATTCCTTCCTCAACCGCCGACACCAAACAGTCAGAATTAACTCTTCCTTGTCGAACACTGTCCCTGTCACGAGTGCTGCAAATACAAATTAGTGTCTTGGGCCGTTTGCTCTTTTAGGTTTTTATCAATGATATTTGCGATTGTTTTTGTATGGCTAAGCCCTATCTGTATGCAGATGATTTTAAAGTAGTGTATTCATTTTTTCCTCATGAGCTGAATAATATGCAAAATTGCATTAGTATGGAGCTTAACAAAGTAGCGCAGTGATGCTCAAAATGGAAGCTGAAGCTTAACACAGTTTAATGTGGATGCATGTGCTTCAGTAATACATCACTCGACTTAGATCTTACCATAAATGGTGAGGTGTTATCTAAGTTACACACAGTAGTAGACTTAGGTACTCCTACGATTGTTCTTTACAGAATAGGCCTTAAAAAAGACTACCAAGTCCTAACGTCTTATGGGTTGCACACTTATAAACCTCTATAACGAGTCACATATTTTGATGTACAAAGTATGTGTTCGACCAACCCTAGAATACTGCACATTTATTCTTAGTAGTGTGTACAAAAAGGATTAATCAAGGTTGCAATCCGTACAGAGACGACTTACACATCCGATTCTTGGAACTGATTGTACCTTGAATCATAAGTCCAGATGTAATAAACTTGGACTCGACCCTTTATGGAAGAGGAGACTCAAACTAAATCTAATCTTTTTCTTCAAAATACTTAATAAACTATCCTTTATATCCAGCCAAGTAATTCAATACCCAGGATCTTCTAATTAAAACATCCGTAACTCCTTGTCATTAGTTAAACAAACCCATCCTCAATCATGTCGCTATATGAATTACTTTATCAGTAAATCTTTCAGACTGTGAAGTAATCTACCATAATCTATACGTAAGATAAGATCACTCCCATCCTTTGTTCGCTGCATTGATGCATACTGCTCCTCTGAAAATGCATTAAATGTTCTAGCACCTGTAAGTGTATCTTATTCCACAAGTGAGACTATAAGAAATAAATGTTTAGCCATTCTTATTACTGAATCCACTAAATAAAACCACCTACCTGCTGTAACTTTACACTAACACCGTCCCTGGCAACCCTATTTGAATAATCTCTAATTCAAATAGTAGATAAGAAAATAACCTGACATATGTATTATAGTAGACCTAACTAATTTATCGTAGTGTTCATTGCCTTTTTGTTCCGTGCTCTCTTCTTCTGCTTTGTTTTATCTAGTTATAGATGGTTGTAATAAATTCGTTATGGCGCAGGAAATGACCTTAAATGCACCGTCCATATATCAAAAGGATGTCCACTTAAGAAGAATTAAAAGTTCACGGCTGTTGTATTTCATTGCTTTAATACATATGAAAAATGTACTACCTAAACAATTATTGAACTAGTAAACTTAAAACAATCTCATATCACGTGTTTGTTCTCTACAGTCAGTGTTACTATTTATATCAAGCTGATCACACCTATAAACTGGCATGAATTCGGTAATTATTATTTTCAGATTATATATAATTATAATTATTTTTATAGGTAATATCAGTTCATGATGAAAACTATGACCCCAGTTTCTTCATCGAAATTTTAACTTTTATACTAGAATCAAAATCTAGGTCTATTTTGGAGCCGATAATTGGTCGTGATTCCACAGGGCCATCCAGAGCATCCAACAATGCTGCCCTCATACTTTATTTATACTTATTAAAAATAAATGATCAATTCATTATATTTATTTAGAATAAACTGGGTCATCTGAGGAGGTAGCTAATGAACTGATTGAAACATACATATTTAATGTTTCAGGCATCGATCAATCAAAACCCGTCAACAGTGTTTCTTTTATGACAAAATAATGTCTAATTAGTTATTCAAGAGTCTGTCATAAACAGGTAACCTAACCATAATCAAATGTAATTTTACAAAAAAACTATTAGAAACACATTCAATGGAAAAAGGCAATCAAAAATTACTATATATGATCAGTCGGAGTAGCAGAATAATGTAACTGACTGTATATTACTAAATTAACAAACATAAAACACTAAGAAACTGGAGAAAAGTCAAGTTGAATAAGATAAGTGAGTACTTGTAAGACTCCATAATATAACATGAAATACACATAATTCAATTGATAATCCTGATATGTATCGACCAAGTATTCACTAATATATTAAATGCCATTTGATGGAACAAATCAAAACAAAATGAACAAGTGCAGTCACATCTCATTATTGTTCAAAAACCGACAGCCCCTATGACATTGTAAAGACAACTTTAAAGATGTCTTTACAATAGTCACGGTATCATACATCAATCATTCGTGGAAGACGACATTCTCACGGTAAATATGCTAATGCTATTGAAATATCATATAGTCCATATAGATTATAGATAATTAGTTAGCATCTGTCAATCATATCATCTGTTTGGTGCTATTGATCACCACATTAGTGCCAGATGGAGAAAAATGTTCTTTTTGTGTATATAGATTAAGGTTGAGACGATAATGGCTGTTGATTCTGTGTAACGAAGTTAACTATTATTCTTTTTAACTACAACTCGAAAACCAATACCATGATTTATTTTAAATGATCTGTATCTATTAAAAATCCTCTTATGGTGCTATTTAGTATCTTGGAATTATTTATTATCGAATGCTTTGAGATTATTTTAAATATTATCCTCTCCACTCTTCCGACGTATGAATTTCTACATTTACGGGTAAATAGGTAATTATGCCTGGACGAAGTTTATTACTACATTCGGTTCATTGAGGTTTTTCTTTCGTAATGGATAATTAAATTAGTGGAGGGAAAGGTTCGTGTAACATCAGCCCTTAAATGACGCCTATACTGAACACTAAGGTCATAATTTCTGAATTAGAGTTTAACGAACGAACTCTTTTACGGGACAGTGGCATGTTGTAGCATCGCATTTGTTGACTGAAAAGGCCTAATTATAAACTTTATGGGATAATCACTTTCGACTAAGGTCCTCTGAATAATTTCCATCTCGCAATCGAGTAAATCTTTAGAATATAGTCTTTTAATTTCAAAGAACAACGTTTTAACAAGACTTCTATATAAGATTGATCAAAAGCTGTTGAAATGAAAACACCAGACTATTTAGGAAGCTTTATGGTTAATAAGATGTTAACCGAAACAGATTTGTCTTTTAGTATCCCTAAGTCCCAGAAATTCATTCTGTTTTATATTTTGGGCTCGTATATAAAATTGGGATTCGTGGAGTCGAATAACAAAAACATATAAGTAAGTGATCAGCATCGTCTCTGTTATTAAATGATGTATTGTTATCAGCATAACTCGAATATATCGACGTTTGTGCTATCACATCTATAAGTTTAGTATTTCCTAGTCATGCTAGAAAAATATTAGTAAATATAGGGTCAGTTTGGATGACCCATGAAGATAAACCTGTCTATCAATACTACTTCTCGTTAAAGTGAAACAGAATAACCGCAGTAATTCTTTTAGCCTCGTCTTCGGAAAGTCGATCATGTTAAGGTGACTGTTTATAATATTAATAGACTTGTCTAGGAGAATTTTAGTTACTGAAGAATCCACCAGAAAAGAGAACCATACACTTTTTGAATAATATGATCTCATCTATTCCCTACTAGTAACGTTAAAACTCCTTCAAACTATGAACAACTGATTCTCTCTACATAGGCATAATCAAATGAGTAAGCTTTCAAGTGAGCTTATAATGTAGTGATGCAATTATCGTTAAGATGGGTCTTCAATTTTTTTTCTGTTACGGGGACGCGATAACTTTATTGCTGACTAATACCTATTATATTATTTGTACTTCAATAAACTATAAGTATAAATAAATGAACAAATTGTGCAAAGAACTAATAACATAATTAATTTCAAGTTTGAGGTTGTAGACATTGTTGAATTTTATTGAAGTCATGAACCGATCAATGTTAGACCACCATTGAAAACCTGGAAGTACTGGACGGCCATTTCGTCCTCAGCAGTGCGAAATCACGATCCCACACGAACACTTAAACTCTAAACAATCAGACCGAGAGTCATTGGTGTTAATGTTTAACATCCATCAATCCACGATGTTGGGCGACTATCCTCCATTGTCTTATAATTAATAATAATGATAATAAATATATGAAAAAGGAAGAAAACTAAAGTAATACACATAAACAAGACCAAGATAAAAAGAACGACATAAATCCTCACCTTTCAAATTTACACATACACATACGGAGAGAAAAAAAACATAAATATCGAAATGAAGATAGACTATATAATGAAGAACATCTCACTGATCTATAAAACAGAAAAGATATTTATAAACGATTATCAAACAAAGGACACAACGTTAAATAACACAAAACTTACCATTATCATATTGTGTAAATAAACGATTTAAAAGAGGTTGGAAAATTTTCTTTGGATCATTTGGTTGTTTAATGATTGCGCATACATGTACAACAACTGAATTTAATTTTTATTGTTTTAAATAGAAAAAAAAAGGAGAAAAGAACGGTGAGCAAATGATTGTGACGAGAAAAAAATGGAGTAAAAACAACAACACTAGTGTTGGTTTTTTTTAACCAAATATAATTGGATTTATCATCTACCTGAAACAACTTAAAATTGACGCTGTTTTATTCACGAAAAATAAAATTACTTACTTAGTTTCTGATTTAAATTTTATTCAATAATTCATTTACTTGAGTAGTTTAGTTTATTCACAAATAATAATTAACATGAAACGAAAAGAAGACAGAACGAGAAGGCAAATTAGTACAGTTCTACTATTAGATAGTTGAAGGTAGTCTGACAGGAAACGTGGGGTCTAAATTGCGTGTTGGTTAACAAACACGAGGGAGGTAGAGCATAAATTCTTTGTCTTCTTTAAAAATTCGAGTCCCAAAATCTCTTTATATTTATTTACTTTTGCGACACCCAATCTTTTTAAACTAAAGCTGATACTATTACTATTTCTAATACTCCAGGATTTGTCTTGCAGTAATTCTATCTCACTGTATTGATGTTGTATAAGAACGTGAACTGATGTGCATATGTTTTAGGTCCTACTTTGCGTGTAATGCTGAAGAGAATCTCGCACGTTTACACATGTTCTTGAGTTATTATTGTTCTCGAAAAAGAGAACTCTTCCAATGTTGGACATACTCAAAATTTATCGGTCCAACTTCATAAACATTAATAAAATGAAAAACAAAAACGTTGAAATGTCATGAAAACGACCGAAGTGGAAAAGTAAACACAAAAGAAAATCAGATTTAGCAATATTCAATGAAATCTCAAAAGTTGGGAGTAATGATAAGACTTGGAGTTTGGAGGAAAATAAAGAATACATACAGATATCTTTAAGTTGAAGGCTCCAATGTGTAGTTTGAAATGAGGTAGACCTGGGACAGTGTTTCAAACACTGGAATCGTTAACCATGGTGACACTTGAGGAAGAAATCCGAAGAGGAAGTTTAGAGATGAAAGTTGAGGTATGAGGAATAATGGGAACTGAGGAGAGCGATTGTATACGAATACAGTGATTTTGAGTGCTGTGAGAGACATGAGGGAGATTATCACTTCCCTGTTGCTCATACTGTGGAAAGGTTCTTCTAAAGGTACCTGAAAAGGAAATTGAATTGAAAATGGTTTTAGTGACCGGACAGCATGACCACAGTGCCCAAAAGACAACCGCTTGAGGTCGGTCACATACGACCTTTTTGTGAGTAGTTTTCGTGAAAGCTCAGTATTTGTTGGGTCCTTACTGCCCGACACGAAAATCCGTGGGATGAGGCGAAGTGTGCATTTCTAAGGTCGACCTTTACTAACCAAACTCTTCCTTTGTGGGAAATCAGCATCCCTGTTATGCTGGACGTTTGAGGGAAACACCATATTGCCGTCACACTTTTGTACAGCCAGCAGTACGACTTCGCCAACGGACTTTAAGCTCCGCTGCTTTTAGTTTCACAGCTCTTCAACCAACCTGTCTGGTGTTGTGCGACCTTGTGAAAGGAATGTTCCAGTCAGAATAGCTCGATTGGTTCAGTACGATATCAAGCCCGATCATTACGTCAAAGTGGCAGCAACGGTCGAGAGATATATGTCAACATTAACTCATATTTTCACACTTCAAATAGCCCCGAACCAACAGTCAACCACTTGATTAATTGATACTTTTTTAGTCTGGGAGAAAATGGTACAAAGTGGGAAAATCTAAGTGATTGCGTTGGGTATCATTTAAGTGGAGCTGATTAAACTTCTGAAATAATGCGAAGTAGTCGGACGAACTTGCAACTACAGCGACTTAGTCATATATTCAATAGAAAGACTATTTTAAAGTTAGATATTCGATGAAATGTAACTGAAACTTCTTTCTACATTTAGTTGATCTAGATAGGCATAATATCAATAAACACTAATGAAATTCAAATGTTTATTGTCTTGGTCACATACAATGAGCGCAAAACAAAACAAAGTTGTATACGAATGGAATGTATTAACTATATTATATTTCGTTGAAATCATAAACCGATCTAAATTTAAATTTGGCAAAGATTTCTTCAGAACATTGGCATGTATTATAAGGTCATAAAAAACAACTTGATATTTATTGTTTACAGTTATTCCAAATTATTTTTCGAAAAAATATATATATGGTACTTAAATGCACTCAAGGTCAAATTATTACGAATTATATCGAGTAACAAACAATCATGGCTAATTTCATTGTAAACTCGTTAATTTTTTATTTATAAGATCTTTATTAAGAAATTCCCTAAAGAGCTATTGAGATGCAGTTTTAAGCCAACAATATGGAGAAATCATGCGTGGAAATCGTTATCTGTGTTGGGATTGTTATCATCACCAGTAAATGACTACTAATAAAGTGATTTGTTTGACAGTTTACTATAAACAATCAGTCATCATCAACGCAGAGCCTGACACATACACGTTGACCAAAAATGCTATAGAATCTCAATACGATGGGATGGAATTAGAAAGAAGTATATTAAAAGATATTAGAATAATTTAGTAGTAATAAAAATGACACAAACTAAGCATATAGAATGTGGTTCGCAAATAAGAAAGTTGTCTACGAAAGAATACGAGAATTTAAGGTAGATGGGAAGATAGGGTGTGAATACATTCGTGTCACTATGAGCGATTCTAAGCCATATCACCCAAAGACACAAATCATCGTTATCATGTGGACTCTGACCAGGTAGTCTGAATCTAACTACACGACTCTGACCAACAGCCATGAACTTTGTAGGCTGATAGCATGTCTTGATTTGTTCTGCCCTAGCATCATTACATCAAGATACAATGTACATCTACGCTAATCACTGATTTTTTCAAAACTATGTATAATCGTGGTGAAACTGAAAAAACTTTATGGATTAAAAAAGCACTTTTTGATTAATTTTGATAGTAATACTAATTAGATAGTAAATTTAAACAAATCGACATTTTATTTGGTAGTAAAAGAGGAGTAGATTTTCTTATTTTAAACGTTCATTAACTGCATGCATTCAAAAAGCATTCATTCATAATTTATAGTGGGACCAATGTTTATTGGTTCACTAATTCTTTATATTAAATCACATAATTAATTACACAATACAAAACAGATACATCAATAGTTCATTTGAAAAAGCAAACAGGTTAAATCTGATGTGGTATACAAATGAACTACTCGTTAGTAACCCTACAATGTATGATATAAATTACAAACGGTTGTAGCGGTCACATTTCAAACTAACAACATATTATAAATATACTGTTAACACGTAAAAGAAAGGCTATATTTGTTATTTATTATTGATGTTCCTGGTAGAGAAAAGATTAACAGTGAAAAAACGTATTCACAATAACGAAATCATGTGATTGTGTCGTTTTTTGCGAATGAATACTTAACATTGATGAACGGATAAGCGGTAATTAAATTAATAGAGGTATAATATGTATCCAGCATGATTACTACAAAAAACACGTTATGTGAACAGATTGAAAGACAGCCATTACATTTTAGGTTTAAATCCTCTCGATCTACTTTTTCATCCAGATGGTCTTGCATAAACAGCTACTTAGTAGTCTTACACTGGAAATGATTATTTCTGTAATACTGGTTGAAGGGTATGAACGATTCCAATTCATGATGTCATTTGCCTTGCCATTCACAATTCTAGATTTAACCATAGTCACAATTCTATTCACATCAGGCACACAGAAACAGTTACTGCTCATTTCGTTGTATATGGTATATTAAACAGCTCAACTTTATCACAACTATGATAATAGTTTACAAGAAATGAATTGCATTACTTTTGTTATAAGATGAGAGAGCTAGTAAACTAATCAAGTTGGACTGGAAATATATAAGCTTAATTGAAGGCGAGAGCTTAAATCAATGTAGGTAATACCTTTCTGCTCTCTTGACTTTACTATATATATATATATATATATATATATATATATATATATATATATATATATATATATATATATATATATATATATATATATATATATATATATATATTTATTTATTTATTTATATTGGGTAGAGAAAAACAAACATAATAAAACATCCAAACTAAAAGACCAGGCTACTCATCAATTTATTTCAGTAAATGAACTTAATTCTCTAGTTAAACACAGTTGAGTCACTCTCCGCATATTTGGTGGAAGTAAAGCTATACACACATCTGTTTAAATGAAAAGAAAGATGGTACAACCAATCCTATTCACATATAAACTAAGACATACATATCCCACATATAAAACATTGAAGTATTCGTATATATTCAACTAGATTTTTTCGAAAGGTTTAGAAATTATGATTATTTGTGAGTAATCAAAAGTCTGGTGGTTAGGTCAATTCCCATAACTTTTGAAACAAAAAAAAATATACCAATGCACTTGAAAGATTATTAGGATGACACTGAGGTTAACCTACCAAATATAAGTCGATCAGGATCTAGCATTTATATATGAAGTGAATGGAACGCAGTTTTAGAACTCTGGCATTTAAACTTAATCATCCTATACTTCAACCTAAGGTTGAACATTTAAACTTAAACATACTAACTCTAACACTTAGAAAAAACATCATATCTGGACTCCGAGGCATGTCTTTTTTTGACTACAGCTACCAAAGATGTTTTTTCAATAGTCTAACATCTTGTAGACAATCTACGGTTCAATCACTATCATAATTAGTCAAAAGCATAACACTCGGTAGCAAGCAATCTGTAAATTCATCTTAAATTCAACAATCGCTATGTTTATTCTGATTGACCGGTCACATTTGTTTTAAAACAGTCACTACAATTTAATTCTGCCGTATTTTGCTGCAGACATATCTAAGAAGAGAAAATTTATCATAACATAAAAAGATACCACATTATCGTCTAATATCTCGTAATTTATAAGAAAAGAAAATTCAAAAAGGAGTCAGTTATTAATCACCCTCTTTTCAATCTTCAACTATTTTACTCCTCATTATGCAATGCTATCGTTCAAATGATTCCTTGGATATTTTGCTAGAAGCAAATTTATGCATTATAATATCAGAACATTCATCGAAAAAAACTAAGCCTGATAAACTTATCGATATATTGTTTTTCTTAATTTTATCTTCTCGTATAACAAACTACATTGTATATTGATTGATATATTTCGTTTGTAATCAAATTTCGGATTTTATGTAGTTTCCAAATCTGATATAGTACTAAACTCAATTGTTAAGCTTTTTCAGTTAGATAAGTAAAGGAAAGACATCTAAATGTTGTTGACTATAGAGTAATAAAAAACGTAATGTTTAAGAGATGAGTTTCTTTAAAACTAAACTACCTACGGATAACTTGTAGAAGCATTAACTCAAAATGGTTCAAATGCATTCACTTAATGTCTCTGCTTTAGACTCTAAGTTTTAAATTTGTTTCCGAGTTTGCATTTCGCTAATAATTTAATTTATTTGTAATTATATTCTATTGATCTTAAGGTTCTGTAGCAGTGTCCGCAATTGAGAGGCGTACCGGAGAGGCACATTGATTTTTTATAGGATCTCTACTCAGACACTACTAGTCGAGTCAGAGCTCATGGAGAACTGTCATCGGAATTAGTTACTTCGAGTAGTGTTTGCCAGGGTTTTCTGCTTTCTTTATTTGAATTTTTTGTTGACATGCTCTTAGAGATGACACTTTCATCTTCTGACTTTCCAGGTGTTGAGCTTTTACCAGAATATATTTACTTAGAATACGCAGATGATATATATTTGTTTGGGGAAAACGATGACAAATGCAGTCTTTTGACCACATTAAAGAGCAATAAAAGCGTGCTTTAGATGTGATCCAGTTGTGACATGCAGTGTCCGAATCTGATACTGACACACTATATACTATGCACTAACCCTCAACTGGCTCTTTGGGCGAGAAATGATATTGGGGTACCAAATAAAATAAACAAATATTCGTTCATATATACCCTACGTTAATGCTAAAGAAATCGATCCATTGACCACAGTGAAATGCACTTGACCTTAAGGTCACTTCTAATTGACATCGATTGGGCTTTTCATTATGCTAATTCTGATGACTTCTCCGAACAAAATTCTCTCCCTTCAGATGTAAAATGTTACTTCAGGGTTGGCTTGCGTCAGGGTCTGAATCAACGATAGAAAGTGCAGTAGTTTAACTTATCCATTGCTTCACTTATATTGGGAGTCTCACTAATACTGATGGTCTGGTGTTTGACAAAATGTCCGCACGAATTCGGAAAGTTCGATTGACTTTCGCCAACTTGAGTCATTTGTGGCGTAGGCGAGATAACCATCTGCTAACCAAAGGACGAGTTTACGGCACAGCAGTTCTACTTTATGAATGTGAAACATGGCCATTAAGAATAGAGGATATTCACAGGTTACTATTATCCGATCATAAGTGTGTTCGAATCATTGCTCGTGTATTTTGGGACCACCAAGTATACAGTACCTGAGTTAGGAGTAGGATACTAGGTAAAGATGGTAAATTGATTGATGGGGTAGTCAATCTTCATTAACTGAGGTGTTTGGAACATGTGTTATGTATGTCCAATTACAGTCTACCTCGACGGGCAATGTTTTATGGTGTAGGAGTAGGCTGGGAGAAAGTTAGAGACGACCTAACTACAACATGACATCAGTTCATGAAGTCACTGACAATTGAACACAACCATGTAAATAGATGCAGACTACCTGGTTAGGGTTCATGCGATTATCGTAACCAACAGTTAGAGACTTTGAATGACGTGGCTTAAAATCGCTTGTAATGGTGCAAATGCATCCGTTCTTTGTCTTCCCCCGAATTCTGAGATTCCGAATTTTTCATATCTATCTTCGTGTTTTGTTTTCACTAATCTATATTTCCATCTCGAATTATATTTTCGATGGGTTTTCTTTCCTATTAGCACTGACATTGTTACTATCTCTACTATTCTGGGATTTTGCCTAACAATTTCATCTCCGTTAGCTAATGGGATGTGGGGACCTGAACCGATGTACATACGTACCAGGTTATACGTCAGGATTGCCTGACTCTGCATGTTTAATCTTTTTTTAATTACTACATATAAGACAGTCACCTTCATTAGTTTAGTATTGATTTTCAAAATATTATCTCACTTTTTTTTGGAGTGTGAGCAACTAGAAACGATGAAAATATAATTCCATGTTCTACATTGCTGATACCTTAGTATAACTGAGAAGTCATGTCTGAATGATCTAACAGAATGATACATAAGCATTTATATACATGCATCGAGAATCTTCATTCATTTCTTTCGAAAAGAAAGACTGCATATATATTGGGCTGAATTTAGGTGAAAGATTCATTGATAGTGTTACAGCACAATGAGAAAAATAAAACTATAGCAAGTACAACTAGTTATGTGCTCCAGAGAATAATTCATCCGCAACTTAAAACAGGATTGAAAAATTCTTTCGAATTAGTCTTTAAAATTTAGCTACTCAAATAATTTATTGACTTCACCAGGGTAACAGAAAATGAATAAAATGTTATGTTGTTATTGAGTGTTGATGTTGGCATAACCAGGAACAAAAATGATTTGGAGAATTAAATGTTCACAGTAGAAGAGTTATTCGAAAGTAAAATCTGACACAAAGCTATAAATATTCAACAACAGCCGATTACCATCTACTTATGTAATGGAAGGAAAAATTGTTATTTACAAATATCAATCAGATTTAACCTAGCTAACAGTTATCGACATTTATTTCATAATGAGAATAGATGACAACAACTGTATATATGAGCATTATGCTCATCATAAAAACGAAAAATTATTTCCTTTAACCCTAATAACAATGAAAACATATTTAGGCACAAAGCGTATAGATTTTGCCACAATAAAATAAAAAATATTTAAAAGAACTCACAAAATATTCCTAAACATTTCCAACTACTTATAAGTAGATAAAAATGATGAAGAAAAAATCTGGATGAGCGGCCTCATCAAATTATGCGAGATTCTGTTAACTAACTTTTTGTCTATGAATAGTGTACTAGAAGAGATAAATTCAGGTGGACACCATAAAATGTTTTAATTAATAATCTAGGGATAAAGTATAGAATAGGAAGTTGCCAACGATTACTGCAGACGGCAATTGGTGCACAAAATATTTCCTCATGTTTAGGCAATAGAATTAACTAATTTTCCATATCTAAGTGAAATAAGACATAAAAGCCAAGTGAGTCAGTCGGGAATCTGATTACTAAGCGAGGTCAATACACTTTTTCACAGAAAATATTACGGTCAAACGAAATAATGATATGGCTGTAAAGTCCCAGTGAGTAGAAAATTAGATTTTTGACATTTCGTGACTTCTTCACAGTCTATAAATAAATAACCGAATTAGATTAATAGAAGTGTAAATAGTGTAAGGGAGACGAAACAGAATATTTTTGGGACAATCAAAATTTTAAAAATGTAGGATCATGCTAACGACATGTGTCGTTTTCCCTAAGGATCCTTGAGCCCGTGTGCACCATTGGTTTGGAATCAGGGTCTTCCAACTCCCCTATGTAGATCCTCTATATCCACCAGCCCGGTTAAAGCACCGGACATTGGCTTTGCCTCTTCCCAATTTCGTAAACAACACCCTCGCCACGAGAAGGCAATGAGTGAGACATCCCTGACAGCGGTTGTATGCACATGGCCATTTGAGAGAATTTAAAGAGGGGGAGCTAACTCTCCCCACCCACCTGCCTAAATAAGAAAAATATAACAATGTTTTATGACCAAACTTACATAAATTATCTTTACAGAATTTATTTTTTTCAACTTGACATTCAATTAAGATAACGGGATCAAGGCATAAATCATTTTGTTGATTGTTTGCATTAAATGAATATGCGAGTATTGAAATCTATGAAAAAGATAAGTTAAAAAATAAACATTTACTCTGCAAGAGTTAATATTGGATTACAGGAGAAGAACAACAACAAAGACATAAGCTGAAGAACACACACATTTCCATTTCACTATTTTGAACTATTGTACCCTTCCTATGTAGAATTTTTATATATAGTTGTCGTAAAATTATTAAACTCTTAAACTGTTTTTATAGTCGTCTATATATGTAGGCTTTTTGTTTGACTTATAGATTTTCAGAAGGGGTTTTGTGGAGATTTCAGTATTTTTCAAAGTTGAAATCATGAGTCAATTGAAACTAGACCACCATCGAAAACCTGGAAGCACTGGACGGCCGTTTCATCCTATTATGGGACTCCTCAGCGGTGCGCATTCACGATCCCACACTAACGGTTAAGGGCTTCGGCTCGAGACTGGTAGGTCCTGGGTTCGAATCTCGTGTGTGTGGGATCGTGGATGCACTGAGGAGTCCCATAATAGGATGAAACGGCCGTCCAGTGCTTCCAGGTTTTCGATGGTGGTCTAGTTTCAATTGACTCATGATTTCAACAGTGAACATTATAAATTTTCATCAGAATAGAAGTTTGTCGAGATTGTAGTAGTTTTAATAGTTGAATTCATGGGTCGATCTAAGCTAGACCACCAGTGAAAACCCGAAAGCACTAGATGACTGTTTCGTCCTCACCGGAGACTCCTCAGCAGTGCGCACCCACGATACCGCACGTGTGGCTCGAACACAGGACCTTCGTTCTCGCGCGCGAGCTCCAACCATACTAGGACGAAACGGCCATTTGGTGCTTCCAGCTAAGATCGACTCATGAATTATAAATTTCTGCTGCCATTATAATTGTTTTTTAGTTCCGGAATGATGATTAGTCAATTATTTCCACACTGCTTTGTTTTAGTATTACTTATGAATGAGTTATGCATACAATGTGATTGTCGGTTGTGTTGGTACGTTGAGGTCAGATATTTAGAAGTACATAATTGTACAAGTTTCGAGCCATCAATGAATATAGTACTATATTGAAGATATCTGTTAACTAACTTCGTTTTCTGACTAAACACTGAGTTGAAAAGAGATTTAAGGTCTGAGTCGTTACTGGTTAATCATAGCGTCATTAGTAATATAGAAAATCGTCAGTCCTACAATCACAGAGCAAATTAATGGGAAATTGGATTAGATAATACAACTACCCACCCCCTTATAAAAGGCCCGATTACACAAATCTCAGCACAATTCAAATATTTATTCTGTTTGATGATACAACAACATAATACATACCTGGATACAATAGTAATTTACATTATTTAAACAAGTGTAATTTTTAGGCATAAAATTGTTTTATTCAATTATCTAATTGCGTTACGAGAGATGATTTAACTATGATGTAAAAAACCTTCGAAGTTATGTCTGAAATATTTTATTTAAATATATTGATTTAATATCTGTTAGGTAATTGGGTTTATTTATTTTCGTATTACCCCGGTTCCAAGCTTTTATTTGAACTGTGCACTGTTGCTATAACATTTTTCACTCATAAAATAGGACCGATGATTCGTGTACCCGGTACTCCGTTTTTCCTTTCACTTGTGTTGCTCTTCTATGTTAATACTGTTAGTTAACTAGTCTGCTGCACGATCTTGAATTGGTGATAATTGGTCTTGTGTTACTGCCCTCCGTTTGGGGCTAGTTACTATTAAGTCAACTATTAGGCGTAGAGTATCAGCTCTCTCATCTTTGTTGCTGATTGGTTGCTTAAGGTCGACTGTGCGTATTGGTCGGTCCTAGAACGTAACAAATTAATTATGTCACTTATGTTCTACTGATTGACTAATCACAAATTATATAAGTTGGAAATGATCAGCAAGAAACCATGAACCCATATGTTTCATGCTGGTGGTAACATCAAAACAAGCTTTATCTCCTATCTCAAGCACTGGACGGTACGACACTGATTACTTTTTAGTGATGACTAGGTTGTACAAAACTATGATTAGATGAAATCCAAAACAGTTTGTATGTATCAAAGTCTGAGAAGAATATCTTTTTAAAATTCCCTAAAAAAACATGTTGATAACGAAAATGTAGAAAATCACTTGTAATTCACGTAGATATTTCTCTCGGTATCTTTTAGAAGATAAAACTTTGATTGCGTTTGAATTATTTTGAGCCTAATTATCAGTTGTTAGCCAGAATAAGATGTTACCCTTAATATTCACCAGACAATCTAATACACAATAATACAAACCAGCATATTTTAGACTTTTGTTGAAACTAATTTGTCATTAGAATCCTGCTTAAGTTGATATTCACCTATAAATCCTAAAATAATGTTTCGAGGGTCCTACAAATGTTAATATAGATCACCTATATAAGTACTGCAATGGAAATTTGAACAAACAGTTTCTCAATAGTTAGATCCGGAGTTTCTAAAAGACATTGAAAAAGAAAATTACTTTTGTAAAAGTGTCAGCGTCCATTATTGAAAAATAACTAATAGGTTCCCCACGAAAATCTGATCCGAGCTTCTCACCTGCAGGAGTTATTTTGAATTTTAGTCCCTGAGATTTCTACAAATATGATATCTATGTTAATAAATCATGTGTGCTTACAGATTGTTCACACAATGATCGGCAATATAGTGTACAGAAAAAGAGGTAATAATTTTGAAAATATCTAAGTAAGAAAAGATTACTTACATCACTCGATTTACAATCATCTGGTAAAAGAGAAGAGTCTGTAATGAGCACTGCTCGGGCACACCAACTATGAAGGAAAACATCGAGTTAATTATGAGTATTGAATAACTAATTAAATTTGTATATAATAGTAGAATTAAAGTGGATGCGGTTAGGATGCACTCATACTGATACACAAACTTCCCATACGCAAGAGCCTAACCAACTACTGAGTGGGAAGGCTAAGAGAAGAAAAGGGAGCCAATTGAACTAAACCGATTTATAAGTATAACTATTTATTTGCATATGTATCTACTTAAAAAAATAAAATGATTAATTGGCCAATCACATGCACTTGTCATTAGGATATTTTTGATTGACACAACAAAGCCTCATTTGACGACCTTTGATTAGCCCACTGTACCAAACACTTTCAATTAATATTTTACAAACAAGGAAAAAAATTCTTGTGAGGGGTTAAGGAACAAGGTGTTAATTTAGCATCGAAGATTTTTATTTTTAGCTCTTCTTCCGTTATGGCGAGGAAGTATCACTTTAGGATGCATGTTATTTGTGAAAAACATCTTTATATCAGAGAAACTTATTACAGTTGATTAAGCAACTTCGCCAGTGAACTTTACATTCTCCGTTATTCAACAAACCCGACTGGCATGGTAAGAGCCTAAAGAATAAGTATACTTACATACGCCTGTTGACCCTCACATTGAGGAGCATAGACTGCCAACCGGCATTCTCCATCCAACTCTGTCCTGGTCAATCCTTTCCAGTCGTTTCAGTCGTTATTCATCCTTTTAATATCTGCTTCCAATTATCGACTCAGTGTTCTTCGGCCTTCCACTTCTCCGTTTCCCTTCAGGATCTCAAGCTAGCGCTCGCTTCATGATGCAGCTTGATAATTTCCACAGTGTATGTCCTATCCACCTCTAACGTCAGTTCCTAATTTCCTCTTTAGTTAGAAACCAGTTTGTTCACTCCCACAGTAGGCTGCTGAAGTAGGCGATAAACGAATATTGAGTAGCATCCCTAGACACCTGTTTATAAATACTTGCAGTTTTTGATGATGGTTGTAGTAGTTCTCTAACTTTCAGCTCTATACAGCAGAACTATGTTGACGTTCGTATTGAAGATTCTGACTTTGATGTCATTTGACAGTTGTTTTTTTTTCAAGTTCTTCAATGTTCTTCAACTGTAGGAATGCTGCTCTTGCTTTTCTAATCCTTCCCTTAACGTTTGCGTCCACTCCTCTTTCATCGATGGTGTTGTTTAGATACGTGAAAGTTTCCACCTCTTCCACAGCTTCTCCGTCAAGTGTGATTGGGTTGGTAAAGAATAAGTCTACTAAACGGTGAAGCTGGAATAGATCGTCAAGATAAGCCATTACGACCAATCCTCTTAAATTAGCGACTATGATTAGGGCATGGGTTGCCAGGTAATCGATTCACTCAAATATTATTTATAGAATCATGTTCAATATTTGGAAATTTTAAATACGACCAACAGATAATGATAAAGATAGTGATATGGTATATATATAGCGTAGCAAATTGCATATCAGTATCAAATTCCGGACACAGCCCGTCACAATAGATAGTATTTGGTTATTTAGTAGAAAATAACTACATTTAAGCTACTCTGATAAAAGTAAGCGATCAAATGAACTAATTGTTGATTAAAGTTGACAAAAACACATGAGAATCTCATAAATTAGGTATATAAAGACAACTATAAAAGACTATGACAAAAGTACACTCAGAGGTCAGTTTATTCGAAATTATCAAGTCAAATCTTGGATTATGGTGATAGAGATATATGAGTATAATGAGGATAGTTTTTGTCAGGGAGAGCAATAAATTACACCTTTTTTCTACCCTATCTTGTCAATTTTCATTGATGAATATATATGAGATTGAGTCTAAGACTTGCAAATCTAAAGTTATGGTGTTTGCTTCAAGACTTGAAGGCTCTAGTGTATACAAAAGTGGAAAACTAGAGTGAAATAACTATTCAGTGGCCCTCTACTGTAGGTAGATTTAAGTGGACGCCAAGTAGTTAAGAGAATTGCGTATATGACCATAAAAAATGATAGTAACAGATTCTAGCGTTATAAGCAAGCAACTTACTGATTAATAAAATCACTAATCCAAGAATATGGTAAACATTCTGGACATAAAATAACACATTTTGTTCTTATTTTCCTACCATTAGATAAATAAACAATGAAATCATCATCAGTATTATTCTTTGGGATTGACTCAAAGTTTGACGACGATGGAGATGATGATGAAGGGTCAGCTTCTGTTATTATCTGTCCATCTTTCATATTGGTGGACATATTCTTAACGGATTGAGTTACTGCATCTACCTCTGAATTTATATACTGAATTTTTTCTACTTTACAACCAAGGCAAAATGTCGTACCGAAAACAGCTGACATTCTGAAAGTGAAATATCATTATTTGTAAACAAAGAAAGATAATACTGTTCATAGGAAATGTCAGAGTACACTGTACATTATTATAAAAATTAAATAATTCATTATTCAAATGTTTTAATATACTCTTAAAGTCGTAGAACAATATGTCAAACGAGAGAATTCTTTTGAAAAAGTTCATTTTCAAAGTTGTAAAAGCCTAGACAAATCCAATTCAAAAATGTACTGTTCAGTACACCTATGTATCACCCTACCCCACTAACGTTACTACTGAATGCAAGACAATTTAGTACAATTGACCGATGCTGTGTGTATTTACCAAATCACCTACTTTTAGGGAGTTATATATGCAGGGCGCTTAATAAGACAAATACTACCCGAGGGCCGAGACTATAACAAGTGAGGCACTACTCAAAAACTAGAATTTAATTAATCTAAATTATTATCCAGATACTCAAACTGAAAAAAGTCGGGCAGGATTTAAGTTGAGAGTAGTTGATTGAAACGTCAATGATTATATCACAGAGCAACATTTATGCTAAAGAATTTTTATCGTCACTATATGGTAATCCTAGGAAAAGGCCTAATAGGCAGTATTTTTATGCCATGAAGCGGATGTATTTTAATGTGACTTTCCGTGCCATCTACGGATGAGGAACATAAATACATTTCAGTTAACAATAAAACATGGCAAATAGCACTGACCGACAGTATCCTTGAGTCAAATCTCCACTACCATACATTGGCCACAAAATTGGATAAGGTCCAAATCGACCCATAGAGAATAACAGTCGTCGAATTCTGAAAATGGCCTATTTCAAGTAAACAAAGATTTTTAAAAAATATGATCACACTTGTTAAACATAATGTTTTAAGTGTCAGTTGGATTTATGCAACCAACAAAAGACCTAGTTACTAAGTTTCATGTTAGTCAGATTTATGAATAAGGTAGTATTTGTGATTTTCAGGGAGCTAAAACTTTGGATTTCATTTGAACTCATATTATAGTAAGATTTTACCTCTGGTTTATTCAGACGGTGAATGATCTCTCACAGGACTGAAAACTCGATCAGCACTAAGAACCAGACAACATGGCATTGATTACGGATATGAATATACATCTTTGAAAATATAAAAACAGAAAAGTAGTTCCTCAGTGGTAGGAAAACCCGAGTTATATTGCCGGGTAAGTGATTCCTAATCCCATAGGGATAAATCTAATTGTTATTATATTCCAGTATAATTAACAATAAGGCGTTTCCTGAAACCTTAAAAAGCAGTAGAGTTTCTTACAAAGTATAATCAGATGTTTTGGATTTAGAGTTTCGGGCAAAATTAGGAATTGTAGTTTGACAGTTAAGACTTGCTTTTTAACAGTCGGGTTTCGGGGTTTGGTTTAAATAAATAAATAGATAAGTGATTATTGCAGGTTTTTCCACTGATTAGGATTCAGAGCTATATATGCCAGCCTGTACTAAAATACTTTGTTGGTTGAATTTATTCAAGTAGAACCTCAGAGGACAACTGATTCAACTAGCAAACGACGACAAGGTCGTTGTCATAAGTTCAATTACCCTCCACGATGGTGTACTAAAAATGGTTCACTGAAAATTGTTCATTGTCTCCAGTCGACAAGCAGTAATACCATGAAAATTAAACTCTAAATACTGGCGTTTGTACTTTTTATTTAGAGCAACAGTTATATACCTCAAGTTGGTTAGTTCGAATTCACACGGTGAATTGCCAATTTTTCTCATAATCAGAGTCTGAATTCGCAGATTAACTGATATGGGTACACGTTATATAACCACTGCATACAATGTGAATAAATCACACAAAAAAACCTAACATCTGTTTTTCATTCATCAGCTTAATTAATGGTTAATAATAGCTAAGCTCACTTAATAATTAAGCTCGAACAATATTTTGTGTGTAGGCAGAGACGGTCACATTTACCGACAATATGTTACACACCATAGCGAGAATTAAGCTTAGAGATTTATGTATGATCTTCTGAGAGGTAATACGACTGCTTAAACAGATGAAGTAATGAGTACGTGATTTTTTGACCGAAACTGAAATAATCACGAAAAATAGTCTGTTAATATTATTCTACATTTCTAAAATGAAAAGCATTCTGAGGCTATCACTACAATTTTTTAGAACAACGTAATCACATCATTTTTCCATCTAATAAAATTATATTAACTGTTTGAACCACATTGAATAAAAGATGATTGATGAGACAGACAATCGCAATTTTTATTTATATGAATGACATGCTAGTAAAAATACTAAGGGAACAATATAGAATCATATAACAGGATACTTGTGGTCTATAAATGACTAAAACAAGAGAGGAAGATTATTGACTTGAACAGACTTCAGCACCAACAACCCTAAATGAAATCACAGTTATCAAAACCCCATATCCACTGATAAAGTTGAGTATAATGAAGCATTGAAACAAGCATATTTCATATATTTCAGGAATTATTTCAGTTCCTGCCTATCATATACATTGAAACAACAGATGATTGAATGAATAAGTTACTCAAGAAAATTTTCCACTTAAACAGCACTACAGAAATCAAAATTCCACAAAATACATCAGCTGCCAACAAACTTTGTTACGTTTCCCTAGGAAACCGACCACAATTAAATATAGCGATTATAGAAACATTGTGAGGAAATAGGATTTTCATATTTTAAAATATCAGTCGTCAATGTTTTCATACAGCTAGACCAACAACAGTTGATCACTTTCACTGGCGTCAGATCTAATCAATTTTTGGGAAGGAAACTTGTAAGCCTATAAATTTACCGTTGGCAAACATACGTAAATGTTATCATGAACCCATTTCCAATTAAACTGAACAAAAACCACTTGATAAAAAGTTGACTCTTAATAAACAATATACCTCACCTCTTTAGTTTTAATCTGTTCATTACTGAATGATAGATTAGTTATCAATAACTGTTGGGTAAATTTATCAAGTTTACGTTTTTCAGTTAATAAATCTTGAAAAGGTCGATCTTCGTAAGCTTAAATGAATTTAATGTTGAATGAAAAAAGTAAGCAAAAAAGAGAAAAAAGATCAACGAGAAGCAAATAAAGTAATCAAATGTACAAATACAAATGAATCAGCATTAATTATACTAAGATTAATTATTGTATAACAGTTATGATCAAAATAGACTAAATGCATTAAGCAAACTAATGGCAACAGACAGTTACACTTGTTAAAACTTTTAAATTAATTTTAAAATCGAATACTAATATCAAATAGGTAAACTGAAAAAATATGATGAGTACAGTTTAACAGTTATGATATTCGAAACACGTTAAGTTTGCTTCAGATAGAATCGACAGAAATCCGTTTCTTAGTTAAGAGAAAATAGTAACATAAAGGATCCAAGCCAAGAAACCATAGTGAACTGTCATTTTCAACACAAAAATATATGAAATGATATTAAGAATGGCAGTGGTATATCATGTATAGAATAAATCTCTCACCGCAGTCAACACAAGTTAACTGTCAACATACTTATCCAAGTGAGGCCTCCATGCGAGTGAAGTGTTAAGCGTATTTTGCTTCCTCGTTTTTTATGTAAAATAGGTATTAATATGAACTACTTCTGAGGTAAGGAATGACGACTGATATATACAAATACTGAGTGAGAGAATAGTTCCTGAAAAGTTAGTAGCAAAAAAGGCTGTATTTAAGATGAAGTTACCAGCAAAAATGATGACATATAGATACTTATAACGAACAACAGTCGATATATCAATCCTAGATAAAAATCCTAAATCATATAAGGAGCTTAGTAATACGACAACCTAGCGAAACACTTCCTACACTGGTTTGTACTGTCATAAACCAATAGACAGGTCCATCTACATAAAACGTATCACAATGAGACACCGTGATAAAGTACTAAACACTAAACAATAGTAAGGGAAAATGTAAGTTGACAGATGTATGAAGTTATCATAAATTAACAAGAATGATATGAGTGGCTAGAGTAAAAGAACAAAAGGAGTATTAGAAATTTCTAGGAAAATAAACAATGAACAGGTTCCAGCCGACTTGATCCCTCTAAGACCTTACTACTGAGAATCTTCAGTCACCGATTTTTCATATTATAAAGGGCACAATAAAAAAGTCTACGTAGTTTTAACCTGGATGATTAAAGTCAACAAACGGCGATTTCATAAGTCAATGTCTGGTTACCGAAATAACGTTTCCCAACTTATCTTTTGATTGTTCAACATTATAAAATTTGACATAAAATCGCTCCGGACGACCAGGAAACAAATCAGTCAGCGCGAAATCAGAACTTTGCCGTATGACCTATTTACATTAATTATTATTCTACTTCTTAACACGACTCAGCTTAATCTCAACCCAAAGCACAAATGATCAAAGCTCTGACAGTTTTCACGAACCCATCAACATGTTTTAGCATCTGTTGTAAAGTATGTCTGTTATTTGGTAGATATTTTAATACTATAAATGCTATAAATAGTCAGTTGTATGCCTTCTTTAGGCAAAAATGTGTGATACAACAGGAGTAACTACCACTACCATAGTTTAAAACTTACTTTATAGACTACACGCTCCTTTTAATAGTGGGAAGTTCTAAGTTACATGTTATGGGTAGTTGAAAATACTAATAATTGGATAATATACTACAGCGAATCATTTAAATTGTGAATTCGAAGGAATTTTAAGATTTACCCCTGCCATATATGGTTGATTTAGCTCTTAGCCTGATGACGATCTAATTGAAAACAAATGTTCGCTTGCATGTGATGTTCTAATTTTCACAATGGGAATCTTTATTATTCTTATGTTCATATTATTTAAGCAAAACATGAAGATTATTTTATTGGTGAACGGTCGCTCAAAATCGTGGATTGGTTGAAGTTAGACATTAACACCGTTGGATGCCGGCTCAGTGGTCTATCGGTTAAGGGCTTCGGCTCGAGACTGATAGGTTCTGGGTTCGGGTGCGGGGTCGTGGATGCGCACTGCTGAGGAGTTCCATAATAGGACGAAACGGCCGTCCAGTGCTTCCAGGTTTTCGATGGTGGTCTAGCTTCAATTGACTCATGATTTCAACTGTGAAGATTATTTTATCGTTTACAATGGTAGACATTTTGTTCAGTAGAATTTAGTCACTGAAAATACGACCAGCTTGTACCTTCTCATTAGTGTAGCAATTTGAACGACCCTACCGATCTTCCACATGTTCTGGATATTGCGTGTGTGTATATTAATTGCTGCTGTGGTTGTCAGGATTCCTTCTGACAACTATTAAACTCGGTTTCGTGACTTCCTAAGAATCTCAGGCTTCTCTATGAGGCGTCACAACTATTCAATTCAAAGATTTCTGACTTTCAGCACAGAGTTTAGATAGTTTACGTCGTTTAAATGACATTTTCGCTGAGCGTTTTGTTGGTATGGCTTTTATACGGTGTAGGACTGCTAATCGTACACCTAAATCACCTTTAACTTGGCTTAGAACCAGCAGTAACACTAGAAGTGCTGGCTTTAGACCTAGTCCTTAGTCATAATACTTCTTTAAATATTTTTATTCTCAAGTTGTTTTCTCATTTACATTAGAAATGATGATGACGAGATTAAGAGCAATCTCAGCATTTAATTTAATCTCAATAATGTGTTTTATGTTTTTTTCACATTAAAATCAGTAACCCGTGTAAAGAAAAAATATACGTGAATTATGTTTACATGCAAGTTTATTGATATTTATATTAATAGAAATGAGAAAGAATGTACATTTTAATTTACATCCACAGTTTCTAGTCTTGGCGACAGTGTAGTAAGAAAACATGTTCTAAATGTCGGTTCATACAAATATGATTTTTTTTCTCATTTTTGTAATCACCTTTAAAATTAATAATAATCTGAATAATTCTAACAAGTACTTTATGTAAGAAGAATTAGACTAACTAGCTTACATTATCATCAATTTATATATGGCATAACTTTGTTCTTATATAATTGATAAGTAAATGCTTTACACTATCTGTTCGATTAACTTTATGGGCTCACTTTCCCGACTAACTGTTATATTCCGATAACAATAGTGAATGGTAACTTTGAGATCCATTTACGGACCAATATTATACATAAATTTTTTATTCTATAATCGCTAAATAACTAAACTATTCATATTCATGTTCCCCTTATCATAAGCTTTATTTTGACCTATAGACTATTATTGTACGACTTACCATACTTGAGTTATCCCTAGTCTATTAATTACTGCCTCCCACATTCACAGCCACATTTGGCTAAATCTTGTACAAATGTTATTTTCTATTTTATTGGTACGATGTGGTCAGTCTGTTTGGTATATAAACTCAGTATGTTTGAAATACAATTATTCATACCGCAGAGGCTGTTATTGGTGTTCTGGACTTAACTGGCTGGGCTAGGCGGAAGCAGGATCGACAAGCACTCTAGACTGCTCGTACGGTTTTCGTGTGTCACTGTTCCAATTGAAAGTTCGCTGCTCTCTGATTGGCGGTTTTATCACGTCATACGTTAGCAAGGCATTCACTCGGCCACAAGCTATAACACTAACTTTGAAATGTTTGTCTTGAAGTTAGTCAATCGTCAGTTAACAGTTATTATTTAATAAGATTGTCTGAAAAGCCATTAAAAATGAAGAGCCATCAGTTATTTTAACGAAACATGCTCACAACTTCATACGAGTTCGTACTGATAACATTCCGGCCTTATGTTATATCTTGTCATAGCTAATTGCTATGTCAGGATCGCTTATTACTTATATTTGTAAAACTAGAAACCACTGCAATTCCCACGAAGCGAAGTAAGACAATCAAGAATGGTACACGTGAAAATCTATTAACCGCAAAACACGACGACAACCTTAGTTGAAAATACACTAATCGATACATTGATTGTACACCCATTTCGATTATTAATTAGGATGAAATCGCACATATGAAAAATAATTAGTTATAACAAATCATACGCTACATGTCATGCTGAGCACAGTAAAGGTAAATAAACGCAAGAATTTAGTATCTTGAACAAAACAACCACACTCAAATAAGTTAAAGTTATACCGAATAAAATATCAAACTGGGAAACAAAATAAATACTATACTGAGTAATTATATTACACTGAATTGAAAACGTAATTAATCTTGACAGAAAATCACAATGGGTAAAAGGATTTAATTTCTCTTTTTAATCCCGTAATATCAATATGAATTTAACGTACATCAAAACACAATATATATGCTTAAGAGTAAATAAATACATAAAATTAACTTACCACAATAATCTTCATCTTTTTCAGAATGTGTCGTACTGCGTTGAGTATCATTAATGATTAAATGAAAACACCATTCGAAAAATGCACCTAACGATCTTTTTTGATGTAAACTTAATAAACGTGTTTTAAACACATCAGAACGACAAACGGGAATCTAATAAAAAAAATAAGATGTGATATATGCATATACTCATTAATAATAAAACCACAAATCAATGACAATAAGATAGTTCACTAATAAAAAATTGGAAGATACTTTTTAAGGTAAATATCTAAATTCAAATAATACTGGAGAGCTAATTCGGTATTAAGGACCAAACAAAAGATCTTCAAGATCTAACAATGACAATGTTACTATGGGGATTATTCACTCAAAATGACACAATCTTCATTCTATAGTATTTTTTATTGTTGTTTTTTGTGAGAAAACCATGCAATTAAAACTGTACAACCTCAACAACTTAAATAAAATGTAAATAGTGATAATAACCTGCATATGAGTTTTTAGTAATTTGAATAAATTTTAATCTTAAACGTGTGCAAAAACCAACAAAAATAAATAGAAAATTTGTAGTCACTCACTTTGACTACACGACCCATACAATTTGTTGAGGAAGATTGATTATCAGCATCGTTCGACACTGTTCCAGACTGTTGTGTGCACTCGTTATTACCAATATAAGCTAACAGGCGTGATACAAAGCGAAATTCTAAATATCTTGTTACGTCAGCACGTTGAAGAGCAGTTACTACAGGACTGTGTGAATAAAGTATCTGAAAACAAAGAGTAATCATAATAATGTATAAATTGGAATATAACTAAACAAATTTCTGATAGTGATAAGTAGAAGTGAAAGAACACTTGATGCTTTGTGACATTTATTTTCATGACTGATTATTTATTCATTATCTTACAATTTTTAACAATTTGAATAGATACTTGATGTATACGAAATAGCAGTTTTAATCCCTAATATTTTCATATTATTTTTGGGTTATCACGCTGCTGATATTAGGGACTGAAATACCTTCAAGATTTGCAGTTAGTCAGTCATCTACAACGTAGGACTAGGTGAATATATGCATCGGTCCAAGTTGACATACCTTATTAGCACAACAAGATGAACACCAAACTCACAGTAGTTACTTAAATAGTAGTAATATATAAGAAGGATTGTTTGTAAGGATATTTTATGGGGAGAAAGAAAGGTATAAAGTAATTTTAATCTTACAGTTGAAGAGGAGACAGAGACGGTATACACCTACGCCATTGTGATCCATTCTGAGCCATGTCACCCAGTCTCCAACTACTGATTACAATAGTCATGCGGACCCCAACCAAGTAGTCTGCATCTACCAACACGGCTCAGACTAGAAGTTAGTGACTTCAAGCACTGATGCCACGTTTTAGTTTCACCGCCCCTAACTTTCTTCCAACCATCCCCTATACTAGTCAGCATTGCGCGTCGTGGTAATCGGTGTTCAGGCATACGCAACACGTGGCCCGACCATCTCGGTCGATCAAGATTCACAACCCAACCAACTGATTTACCATAATTCCCTAATACCATGTGTATAACCACACTATTACTTACCCGGTGATCCCAGCAGATGCGAGCAATATTTTTCTAAGGCATCTGTGATCAAATGATAGTAACTTACGAGTATCGTCCACTCTTAATGACCACGTTTCGCAGCCGTCAAGTAGAACAGAGTGAACTGCTGCACAGTATACTCATCCCTTAATTGATAGACGGGTATCTCACCTTCCCCATAGATGACGTAAGTTGGCAAAAGTCAAACGCGCTTTTTCAATCCGTGCTGAGATTTCTTCAGGCACCAACCCATTAGAACTGATCAGACTTCCAAGATAAGTGAAATTTTCGGCGAGTTCGACCACTTTACTCCCTATCCTTAGTTCAAGTGTTCACACAGGCCAGTCCTGGAGCAACAATTTACATTTAGAAGGGGGAGAAACACATCCCAAACATCCTTGCATTTTTACTCAGTGCTATCAAAAGACTCTGTATCTTATCAGCGTCTTCACCAAACAGGACTATGTCATCTGCGTATTCTAAGTCGATAAGTGGACCTCCCGATAGGAGACCAATTCCTGAAAATTCAAACGACGAAAATGTTATTTTCAGCAGTAAGTCGATGGTGAAACTAAACAAAAATGCAGATAGTGGATAGCCTTGCCGGACACCACTTGTAGTTGCAAAATCAGACAGTTCGCTATAAACTGACTCGAATGGTAGTGTTCAATCTTTGTTGATATATTTGTATTCTGTTAGAATGGCCTTGATATGGCCATTATGATGGTTGTGTGCTAAGAAAGGCAGATGAAATCGCAGTCCCTAATATCAACAACAGGATGACTCAAATTCTTAATAATCCTCGTTGAATGAGTTAGCGACTATCAGACCTCACAAGCTCAGCGGATAACGGAATGAGCGTTTGAAGCGGAAGGTACCGGGTTCAAGTCCCATATATGGTGAAACGCGTATCCTGGATTCTGATGTAAGACACAATCTATCCAATTAATATACTCAGTTTCTCGGTAGCTCCGAACGCTGATATTTCTGCAGTTAAGTTAGAGAGATAAGTTCTTTAATTAATTAGTTTATCTATACCATTTCAGTGGTTTAATTATTTAATTTTCTAGCTATGAAAAGTTGAATTAACAAAAATTCAACAACTTAATGGATATAGTATAATACAGTGACAAACTATGGTCAGTTTGAGACACCTTATAGAATATAATTATTTCAATGATGAAAAATGGAATCTTGATCATTAAATTAAATCACTCTCCCTTTTTCTTAGAACGAATTCTCCAAAAATACTTACACCATTATGTCAACCGAATCCATAAGATACATAATCCTGTAAGTGGTCTTCACAACTAAATTTTAAATGCTTTCATCTAATTGAGAGAAATCACTGTATGCACTCTGATAAGACTTGAGCAGGAGGAATATAATATTAAAATACCAAGAAAGCTAACCTATGTAACTGTAATCACCATTACGTTACATAGAACTTGAGTTGACACTTCACGTTAATTAAACTCTAAATAGACATCGACTACATGAATATTCGAATGATTTCTTTTGGACAATGTGTGATCAACGAAATTCAAAATGTTCATTCTTGAAAACCTAATAAACAGTAGAACTAATCATATTTTAACTGTTCTGTTCTCGGTAACTCACACACCTATTAGTTATAATTTAATTTCTACCAAGTAATTTTTCTTTTGTTAGAAGACAGTTGTATCTTTCAGAGATGTAATTTACGATACAACTGAATGGTTAGGAATAAATTTGTTAGAAAAGTAAACTATTTGAAGGCTATAATATTGTTCAGGTTTAATACTGGGACAGTAGTATAGTGAATGAAGAATTGGTGGGTAAAACCAATTCACTGTTTTGTACACAATCACATAGTACCTCTGTAAACTATGAAAATCATATACTAAATACATCATTTGCACATCTTCATTGAGTCATCTTTTACATACTCCATCACCCTTCCCATTCTGTTGCTGTTGTTCTGTTTTCCTTCCTGTTCTCTTTATTTCAATCTTCTGCCGGTAAGCCTTCCACTTACAATTACTACTACATACTACTCTTGTCTATCCGCATAAGTAGCGCACACAATAGTAGTAATCGTAGTAGTGGAACTTTGATAGATTGTTAAGTGGTTTGTGACCTAGGCTGATGATAAGACACATGTTTAGGTTGTTATCTGATTTAGTAAGAAACATTATTTTTCCGCTAAAACTGTACGACTTTAACTGGTTGAGATCCATATTTCAACTATGTAATTTTTCTAATAGTTGAGCCAATTAGTGTGGAACAATTGTTTATATTTCATGTACTCAGTTACGAGTCAAACGTTTTTATTTCCTAATAGCTAGTGATAGTATTAGCCAGCACAAACAAAATTTGTTGGGAAAGTATTAGAACACGCAACATGGTTGCTGAAAGATGAGTGCCATCACTCATGTTTAGAGACTTACAAATAAGATTTATCTGACGATTATGTTTAAAAGACATAATATTAAGGTAGACCATGCCTTTCTGTAAGGTAAATGAGTGGTCACCTGTTGGGCGTTAACTAAGTTTTTTAGTGAGCACATAGAATCGATTGAAAAATTGTATATCGATCTTATATGCACTTGTGAATTTAACAGAATGTTAAGAGTAAATCAGATAGCACAGTTATTGGACAGTAGAATTTATCTGAGTTTATTCACATTGTACATATGCATAGAATTTGAACCAGTGATCTGAAATTTGAAAGTCGAGTTCCAACCCCAAAAATCTAAGTCTAATTTATAGTTAGGGAATTAATTATATGAAGTAACTTAAACTGCCACCTCGACGTAATGGCCATGCTTGACAATTGTGATGACCTGGTTGCACCATATTGGATGAAACACTTGTTCCTTTAGGTTTTATCATGACACGGAAGTCAGTTGAAGAGCCGTAAGGGTAAAATCGGCAAAATTGAAGTTTGAGAGAAAATTCGTACTGTTGACTGTCATGAAGCGTGATGACAGCAGGGTGTTCCTTCAAACAACTAACATCTGCAGAGCTGCTGATTTCCTACAGAAGGTTAGAAAAGGTTGGACCTAAGAATAACACATTACATTGACCCAAGGTACGGATCTAGCATATCTGAAACTACTGAGAAATGTCAGAGTAACGAGAATTAAGCCACACCACAGGTTCAAACTCCGCTCAAATTACCTTATTTTCACGCCTAGGTAGTATTAATGGACCTCATATAGCGTGACTTAGTCCTTGGTGCATAAACTTATATTTGGAAAGTGAGTTTATTAACGTTTTCCTCAAATAACAGTAGTTGATCAAAAGTTATAGATACCATACGATTGCCAAATACAATGTAGGGAAGGTGCAGCAGGTGACCCCATTCGAATGCTTAAAGCAGAGTCAGCTTTACGCATGCTTTAAATGAATAATCCCCTTAACTGTAGCAAAAAACAACGTTATTGAAATTGATGGGAAAACCAGACTTAATAGTTACTACACGTGTACTTAACAATGACACTGACATTACCTTTGGCACTATGTCTATATCATGTAGACGCACAGCGTTTCGTAGTTCAGACCGAGACCATAATTTTTGGCATTGAACAGTCTTATCAGCGTCATCAGATTTTTGTTCGGTTACCGTAACAACATTTTCATGTTCATCCCCATTGGATTTCTCTTGTTCTTCTCCAAGCTCGCGAATTACACTAGAAATTTCAGTGCTAATATGTTCGTGTTGGACAATGGTATCACTAGATAATGCCATTGTGCTTGGCGAGTCATTATTAACTTTTCTGCTGACATTACTAGAGTTTTCGGCATCATTATCATCGTGGGAATCAAAACTCTCGTCACAGCTATCACCAATAGTAGTAATAAAAAAAAACAAGCAACAGTACTGAATTTTCATATCACTACGAAATGTGTTAATATTGGCATTAAACAATTAATTTACAACTTACGAGAACTTGTCAGAAATCAATATGAGTTATCTCAGTGACGACGGCTATTTACATGGTTACACTCTGGTTCTTATGAACTGAACGAGTTGTCTTCAATTAGTTACCACCTGTTTATACCGTTCTAGATTTCAAGACCCTATTTTGATATACTTTTAGTAGGTATATCAGCATTTACTGATACTCCAACAAAAATAGGTATACGAGAAATGTGTTTTATTAGACAAAAGATATTTCATCAGTAGAAAGGCGGTGTTATGTGGTGGAAGAAAACATTTTTACACATCCGCATTCAGAAGTTTTGCATTAGACTATTTGGAATGATACAAAATCAAATACTAGATTAAAATTTTAAAAACAAATAATACTCACCCTAGAAACCATTCTGATGACTTGTGAGTGACTAAATAAGACTCAATCCCACTGAGATCTAAACACTTATCTTTGATGACTGGAAGACATTTGGGGCAGTTAGGTTCCTAACAAATCAAAGTAGAGATATTTAAAGTAAGAAATGAACTTACGATTTGACTAAGAAGTTTCTCGAATTCAGGGAATCGTAAAGATGCAAGGACTCCACCATAATAAGCATTTCTATGGTATGTTAATACATAAATTATGAGTCAAAATTACCGATCGATATGAAGAATTTGTTTTCCCAATATTGATAAACTTGCAGAGATTAGGGATTCACTTAAACCTGTAATACGAAAGGAATAATTTCCGTGAATCAGTATAGATTTCCAGTGAAGTTTTAGCTAAAGCATTTGACAACGAGACTGTAACTTGGGGACGAACCAATCAAATTTAGGACAACTTTTGGATTTTGGAGAGGAATCCACCCATCAATTTGGTCCAACAGCATTTTGGCATATTAGTTTATGTCAACTGGTGATGAAAATCCTAAATCTAATTTCTAACCCTAACAATCAACTGAAAATCATAATCTTTATTCTTCTCACAAGCTGACAACTCATCTAGCCTTATTAGACATGTTCAATGCCAATAGCGTCATTCAAAGATTCATCCGAAAATTATAACTGTAAAGAATCTTAGTTTATCTAGTCGGACCCAACAGGAGCCTTTTAAACTAACATTTTTTTTCCTCAACAATCCATAAACTCAACAGTGACTAAAGGAACCAGACTGACAAAACAGCTTAGTCTTTTTGAGTGAAGACTACTGTATATACTTTGTAAACATACATATATGTTTAGAAAAAGAATTATCGTGTTGGTTTTTGAAATTAAAACATGACCAAGTTGTAGACACAAATGATTCTGTAAGGAAGACATCCCGTCCAAATTTTTTGTTCACCGATTGCATCGCAACTCTTACACACAACAACTATGTACTATAAAGAACCTTTTATTTCTACTACAGTGTAACGAATTTTGTCTTCTATAAACCATTTGGATGCAAATAAGGTTCGGGGAAAAAACCCGGCATACACAATTACGGTAGAAAGCTTGAAGTAAATTACGGACAGCGAACGAAATGATGTTATAACGCCAATTTATTATACACTGAACAAGATAATAGTCATATGAAGGAGAAAGTCTATTTAATTAAATGCCCAACTAGTTTGACAGAATACAGGGAAAACACACAGAGACTATTCAACGCTTAGATTCAGTTGATTATTGAAAGTCAATAGTGTAACGTAGGAGTTTTCCTACATACCTGTACCGTCAATGACACAATCAACCCTCTCCGGGAAATCCATTCGAAAACGGTAACACCAATAACCTTGACAAAGGACACATTGAAGCTAATGAAAGATTCAAAGTCCAGCCCCACGTATACCGTAGTAGCGATCTGCGAAACCATTTTTGCTAGACTCCTGCTACAATTTCAGGGAACACTCATTGCTTAAATGCTTTATCAGTAACCAACAATGACCCTATTTACTTGTAGGTTGTTTCGTTTGTTAAAGTTCAAATGGTTGAGAACGGAATAGAAGAAGCTTCGCTTAACGGGCTTCCGTGTCTGGTAGCAGTAGATTACCAACACCTCCAGACAAGAACCTAGGTATATGAACGATAATAGAGGAAAAAATGAATTTGGTAGATTCAAATAATATGTTATCCTTAGTCCTTAAGAATAAGTCAAGTTTCCTCATAAAGGACATGTCTCAGATGGACTACTTTGTACTTTGAAGTGTTGGAGGTAAGTCGTTGTTGTCTGCCAAACTTTGATTCCAGTTAAATCCTCCTGAAGTGCTAGTATATCATTTTGGTCACTTATCTCTCTCCAAAGTTCCACATCATCAGCAAAAAGCAATAAATCAGATGAAACTTGTTGAGGAAGATCGTTAATGTAAATCAAGAAGAGAAGAAGTCATAGTGTTGAGCCCTGGGGGACCCAACTAGGACATTCCATGGCCTGGGAGAGAGTGAAGTTAACCCTGACCTCAAAATGTCGGTTTTCTGGGTATGAAGTGAGCTAGTCAACCAAAAGGGGTTTGATACCCAATCGTCTAAGCTTTTGAGAAATCAAGGTAAATGACGTCAACCTTCCTCTTGCGGTCACGGATAGTTGCCCAACTGAAACTTCTAAGTCAGTTGTTTATTGCCACTGAATGATGACAGCTCTCCTATGGTTGGCTGGAAATGCAGAAGATGGACTGGAACGAAAGTAAAATGTATTTTAGCAGCAACTTATTCCGCAAAGTAAATAGTTCTGTAAGTCTTTAAAATTTGCAATAGCCTCATTAGTTTGTGGCGCCAATGAAATATCACTGGGCCCTTGCCAATTCATCCGACAGTTAAAATTACGAATATTAAACAGTTTACTGATCTTTGTCAGGCCCAAAGTTGTGCATTGATCAGTTGCACTTCATGGACTGGCCCAAGCACAATTGGTCACACTTTGTTCTTGTACGTACGCTTACTAGTACATTTCCATCGTAACATTTTGTTAAAGCTATACATTTATCGAAGCTACCGCAGTATCTGGATATGAAGTATAGGTAACTCACGTTGGGTGTAAACCGAGAGGTGTCATTTCGAGGAAGGCTGATTCACGCGATTCCTTTCCAACTCGTGGCAGCCCAGAAACACAGACACAGATCAATGATATTGGTGATCTCCAAGTGCTAGCCTGATGCACTTAGTCAAACATCCGCGTCCGATTATCACTCAACAAACCGTGCTAAGCATACTCTTAGTTAACTAGTCAGATTAAACTACTACTCATCAACTATACCTTCCAAATTCTTTATTCTTGGCTTCTAGTTTGATATGATTCTGTATCATCGATTTCAAAAGTGGTACGGACAACAGATACTCAAAATATCCGTGAAAACTTTAGTAGTTGTACTATGGTTCTGAAGATGACAAGCTAGCATTGAGAAATAAAAATACATAGTAAACAACTGAAACTCAAATTCCGTAATCAACAAAAACTTGACTAATTCCGTGCATTTTGGAAGAAACGCGACAAAAGTTCTGGTTTTTCACTCAGAATTCTACGGAATTTCGGGGAATATAAGAAAGTTCCAGAAAGACCCCAGTATTTTTACTATTTTGGGTAAGTCATCGAAATTTACACTTGAGCAGAATATGCCGAACCTCAGTAAACTAAGTACATTAATAATCCGAAGTTTCAAGTGACTGAAAAACTCAAAGTACTGCTAAATTTTCAATAAATACCTCAAAATTTGAGGTTGCAACATAGTTCTATTCTGAACAACTAGTTGTCTGTAGTCTCCCCCTGAAATCTGTATCTAATGTTCATTGCACATCTTGTTCATCATAATACTTTAGAAACTTGACTTACCAATTTTGTGATAACGAGTCACAGACTAAACACTTTGAAATAGTTGATTTATTGGCTGTAACCTACAAACGACAGCTGAAATTCATAAGCATTTGGTTTTGGTGGTGACCTTGTCTGTTCGAATAAATAACGGATGGTTAGATGAGCTCGTTAAAGCGTCTGCTCTGGATAGTTTCATCCTGTTATGGAATACTTTTCTTCCAGAAGCTGGCTAGTTGAAACTTTTCTCGTAACAGTGACTCTGTATACAACTAGCTACATATTTTTCCAGCCATCATTTACTACTTTTTTGTTTGTCCTGTAGTTCTTCTCTAGGATAATTAGCATATCAGTTCCCGCCAAACTTTACTAAGCCTAACTGCAAACGTAGTTTGCAAATTGTGCAGTGCCGAGTAGGAGGAAATATAATAATGATTTATCATATTGCTCATATTTCAACAGATCACTTTTAAATCTTGGTCTAAGGCTACAACTAAGTAGGCATAAATTCGGGTTGAGACATGAAACATTATACAAAAAACTGTGTACTAAATTTATTGGGATAAACATTTTCAAATTCTGAAGCCTCTTTTGACGAGTGAAAGTAATAGCACCTCTTGCTTCCACTACAAAATGTTATTTCATATCCAATGATACGTTTGGAGACTATATTATTCATCAACCCACGATGACTTGTGTTAACCACCAACCAATATAGTATTCTCCCAGATTTCTCAAGGGTCAAAATATGAAACAAACGTTTCTATATTCAAAAATCACATCCGATCCAGACATAGTCTCATGGAACTAATTTTTTCGGACTTATGCTTAACAAAGGTTAAAGTTTATATCCTCTGTCCCAGCAGGCGGATGGTGTTCCAGCTCAATGATGAGAAAATTACACTGCCATTGATATTCTCTTTACAGGACACGCAGGCTCTTCGATTCAAAGATGTGAGCTTGTATTTCATTTGTTGGTTTATCTCAAAATTCATCGTAGTGAAACACGTGTGATTTTAGCAGCTCAGTTACATATGATAATGAACGTGTCTTTAGATTCTAAAAATTGTAAATTTTCAGTTTTGTTCGTATGCATCAGGTATGGTAGGGTATACTGTACATAATTACTTAATTATTGAACTCTTCAGTACGTTTTTCAAGTTTGTTTGCCGGCTTTGTCTGTTTGGAAAATAATTTTTAAATATCTCATGTATTCCGTTTTGTTAAATTGTGTCTTCAAATGTTGCTGGTTCTCTCCCACAACGTTTAAAAAATAGTCGTGTATAAGTGAATTTCTTATAATAATTAGAAACAGTCAACTTCAGCACGTGAACTAGTAATTCCCAGCACTGTCTACTACCTACCCTAGTAGTCACTAATGAATCAGTTGTAGACCACCGGCGTTGATGAACCATGTCGACTGATTGGAGGCCTACTCGAGTTGGACGGAAACGGTATAACGAACAAGCTAACTTCAAAGTCACACCTCGCGGTCAGTATCTAACGTGGATTACCCGATTCGACGTATAAAAGTACTATGCCTGTTTTGAAGACTGTATAACACAGAGAGCGTGATTACGTAAATATATTAGTAAGAATGAGTACAAAGATTTTAATAAGACCAACACTGCCTAAGCGAGTCCGTGGAGTATGATTAACTGATGCACGTTTTGTTGTCCTTGACTGTACCAGGGATCGATGATCTGTTCGATATTCAGTGGCTTAACTCCCGGATGATTTGGCTAGGGCTTAGTGACATTTCAATTCCGCTACACAGTATTTAAGTTAAAGGGAGATGTGTGAGAGCATTTGAAATTCAAATAAAGTGCGGAATAATGCACAAGGAATTTATTAGTTAACACAAACACCACAATTACTCATATACGACTGATTACTTATCGTCTATTTCAAGTTTCACTGCTTGTTTTACACTTCAACTTTTCAGTTTTTGAATATTCTAAGAATTTTTTTAGACAAAGTAATAATTGAGCGGACGTAGTAATTTGGTTGATACTTTGATTACAGCTTGATATATTTATTTAAATCATTATTTGTGGGACCATAATTTATAGACGACCTTTGAGAGACGCTAAAGTGACCCTGAGTGTGCCCAACAGGACTAAATGAGGGTTATAAACGAGTTTAAGGAATCGGAATTATGATTTACAGTTGATATTTAAGGTAAGGAATTAGATTTACGGTTCACATCACGAACTGACATCAGCTATAATGCCAAAACTCTATTTAGTCAAATGGATGAGTAAATTTCGCGCCTGTTATCTTATACCTGATTAGTTTGTTCATAAGTTATAGTCTCACCCATTTACTTACCTACTATTTTCACAGCTTTTTCTTGTACTATTCATTTCTGTTTTTGTTTTCTTTTCAGCAATGTTACATAATTACCAATCAATCAGAAAATCTTGACTTCAGGAAAATAAAAGGATTTTAATCTTGTTTTCAAACTTCACTACCCAATTCAGTCATATTTTACCGAAGTCACAATTACTTATATCGGATGATTATATTATCTGAATTCTTATTGTCTACAAATAAACATCATTATTCGAGTAAGTTCCATACACATACAGATTAATCATATAAAGACACATAAATTTTCACAAAACGGAAATATTTAGAATAAAGTTCACTTAAAATGTTAAATAAAAGGTAGTCAAATAAGCATCAATTTGTAAGAAAACAATTCCTTCTTACTTAGGGGGGGGGAGATAGTAACAGAAAAAATGGAAGAATACTTCACACAGAAATATTGTACTAGAATAGCTTACAATGCCGGAAATTAGGAACATGTCATCAGGATAATGAATAATCTACAAGAAGTACCGCGAAGATGTTCATAGGAGAAAATTAATTAAAAACAACTGTTATTTTAAAATAAACTTTGATATTAATATTTTTTAATAAAAAGTATGTCCATAGACTGTTTGCTTCATTTCCAAATAGTTTTGTAAGAGAGAAAAAAGAACCGGAACACTTATAAGAAAGCACTGGTAAACCTTTTGTGAATAATTTACATTACTAATAATTTATATTCTATTATTTACAGAAATTTTAAATTTGAAGACTGATTATTGTACGTACTAAAAATTAAATAATAAAAAGCATATTAGCTATAGATTATCATTACAATATATGAATGTAAATGTTATATAATTACTGTATTTAAAGCTTATACGAATCATTGAGAAACATAATGACCATAATGTCTTAGATTTCAATTTTCTAATTGTAATCTAAGTATATAACTCAGATAAGTTGTAGAGTAAATGATTCTTTAGAACATGAATTAGTAAAATGATATTAGAGGAAAAGAGTACAAAATCTCTTTATACTAATGTATTGTGGTGTGGTCTACTTATATTAATATAAGTAGTTTATTCTGATGGTCAGACATAGAATGTATTTTGGCAGAAAAACGATAAAAAACGAATAGGAATGAAGCGCAATCGGTACGAAAATGCATGAACGATGAAATAAGAGAAGACGGACTGATATTTGCAGAAGAAACAGTGAATATTGAGACAATCGATTGTTATTTTGCAATTTAACTATTCACTATATGGTTATCAGAATCTAGTGAGATAGTCACCACAATATACCTGTAAATTTGATTTAAAGATGAAATATACTATTTGAGATGTTAAATAAAATAAATATTTTCCTCAAAATATTGGTATGGTCGCTGTTACCTTATGTGTTAGTAGATATGTCGGATAGCAGTGTTTCGTCACTAAAAACTTTAATAAGCCATGATAGCTAACTTTTATCGTAATAAAATTGAAGTATATGCATACAAATGATCTCTTTTAAAATGAAAATAACTGTATATGTTATCAATGTTGAAAGCGTGAGTCAATTGAAGCTAGACCACCATGGAAAACCTGGAAACACTGAACGGCTATATGTTATGTTAAGTACAATGTAATTATACATAGCTGTGTTGTTCTCTAATAGCTAAGATTTTCATTGATAGTCAGTGTTTGATATAACTAAGTTTATATAACAAAACAACCAATTAAAATGTGAGTGAGGAATCGTAGTTTCATAGGAAAATCAAGTGAGTTACAATTGTGACAATTATAGTAATAATAAACTGAACACTAGAAGATCATTTACATTATGTCATGATATGACTGAGTTTAACTAAGTAAACTATCAAATAACGGATTCACTATTTACTTTATTATTTGATCTAAACTAAGATTGAATCATGTGCACACACTTCTGAGGTGCTATATAATGTCAAAAATCAACAAATTTCTCCTCAATTTCTTAAATGATACCTAATCATTATGAATTCTGTGTAAAGTTTGATAAGAATTCCCTATCTATTATTATTTCGAAACATTCTGTTAGTTTAAATGGATGTACTTATCTAGCATTCTTCACATCACTATGCGAAAACATATGAACGAAGGCTCATTAAATCAATGTTTGTTTGTTTGAATAATAAAGAAATTATCTCAAGTATGTACCTCATTGTTACATTTTTTCAAAACATATATATGGCGTTAAATTAAGCTTCTCTATCTGTGATCATTTGAATATTCTTTTTTCATTATAAAAGTGACCAGGTATGTATGCATAACTCTTTACTTATTCTCAGCTAAATCCTTTTTTGGACAATGTGATCACACACGTTACATTCATTCAATATATTTGAAACAGACAATTATGTCCGATGAAACTATGGTCTAGATTTTAAATGACCCTGAAAATGATCACGAAATGTTCATGCTTCTTATTATTTGATTTGTACAAAGATTGTCAAAATAAAAACTGATGTTTAAACGGTCATCGAATTTCGGCATATTTGATAGTTTTAGATAACTTACTAATTTTTCAAGGTTTTTAACAGATTTTTCAAGTCCGAGTATAAACTACTTTTGCTATAATAGCTCAGTATATGTTAGAATTCATTACCGACCCATTAATAATGATGTAAATGTTCTCCCGTAGTGCTGACGATATACATGTTCAGAATTCCTGGGAAGATGACTAAGTGACGTGCTGAGACAATGGGTTGGGAACAATGTTAATGAACTTCCTTACAGTTTTAAGAACAAAAGTACTTGCTATGAAATGTATCAATAGTGAAATTAGTTAGTTGATAATTTATTTGGAATAGACGAAAAAGGAAAGTATTCTTAATGTTTAGTGTTTCAGATAGAATATTCAACAGAAGGAGTAAGTATTATGTGTAATTTTGCTTCCACATAGTGTCATATTCAATGTATGTTGGCACAAAAGGTTTTTTTATATCAACCCTTAGAGATTTAAGATTCAGATATAGGTATCCTCGACAAAGCCATTCATATAATAAATACGTGCAGGTAAAACCTTCTGAGTTTTTGACAAAAAGCAAAAAGTTGTCAACTTGATCTTCATTGTCATAGCAGTATATTGTAGTTTCGTCTGCAAAACTTTTGATATGACAAAATTAAGTGAGTGTTATACCAATGACTTTTAAATGGTTTTCCTCAACAAGAAAAAGGGAATAATTCATAATAATAGGAAGGAACAATATATTTGATCGTAGAAAGAGGTAAATAAACTTGCGATTACTAATCTGGTTATTTGGAGGATGTAGAAGTGTCCAACATGAAGTATGCTGGAATAGGGCAAGAATGCTTATTCACCTTCAAATGGTGGTGTCCAATAAAACTATCAAGACTAGCATCAATGTTCGATAACCATTAGACTATTTATTTGCCACTATAAGCGAAACAGTTTCTAATCAACGTTTCAACAGTATTAAATTTCAAGTTACTTATGATGTGATTTAACTAGTTAATAAAGTGTTTATGGTTAAAACCAAATGACAGATAAATCATTGTTTGATAAATCATTGTCATATCTGACAATTTTTATTCCGTCTCTTTGTTATTATTCTTCTTAATAGCCGATTTTTTTGTTATACATTTTTCATTTATACAAATGTTACTGAACTTACTCAACTGATAGTATTGTGAAACTATTCACTTTGCCTAGATTACGAACTATCTTGTCTAATTTCATTTCGATGAAATATATCATATGAATCAGTCAGATAATTAGTTGTTAATGCCAAAAACCAAACCATTGGTGATCGACGATATTTTCGACGAATCTGCTTATTAGGTATACTACTTAAATGAATTTGTAGATTCCACCACGCGTCCGAGATGATTCTCCATAATAAAGATGGTAAATTAGCTATAGTTAAGATAAGCGGTAGAGCAAACCAGAATGTTGGACTTCGGCATAATTTCGTATAACTGCGAAAATTGATATTATTAAGTGTTGTTGTACTCTAAATTAAAAACATAGCAATTAGTTTGCAGAATGTAAATAATTTGAAACAAAAGATGTTAAATTGTTTCTGCAATTGATAATACAAAGATGGATTGTGAGAATTTATGATAATAAATGGTAATTCACTGGTAAGAATTGTGTTACTATTTAGCCTGATAAGCAAAATATGTTATGGTAGATACCGTAAAATGTATGTAAAGTACATTGAATGTTCCACTTCATTTTAACTATACTTTGATGCTATGTTATCATACTAATAAACAAACAATATTTCTATATATGATTGTTAGTGGAGCCATATAAAATGTTAATCGAAACGGTTTGACTAGTAAATTGTAGATGATGACTTATAATACTCATTTCTAGTATGTTGATGTTATTCACAAAATCATATTCTTATTATCATTTTGTCCCTTAAATTGAACTATGTTTTCATAAATATTGATAAGTCTTGTTGATTGAACGCTATATTCGGATCCTAAGCTAGTCTCGTAACCCCCAAGCTAGAACTACACAGAGACTTGAACTTGAGAGAAAAGACGTAAAATATTCGAGAAGTACTTTACTCCAAAAGTTCATTCATGTACAGAAAATATAGGGTTTTAATAGTATTTTAAAAGTCCTTGGTTTTTCCTGAAAAATATAGGATACTAAACATAGTAGCAATGTAGTAATCAACCAATCAGAACATCTACATGTGACTTTTAATTTTCGTTATGATTCTAGCAAAACTTCTAATCAAACGCTGATTGGATAAAATGCTTCTTAATGTTTCCTGAGCTTGTAATGTCTATTGCTAGAAATTTGCAGGATCATCCCAACAAATATGCAACAAACGCTTGAGCTTTATTCTTTCTTACCTGTATCTATTAGATAATTTTTTCAGTTCGAATAATGAGTAGCTTTTACTTATATACCTCTTCTTCAGAAATAAATGACTCTCTTGTTGAGATTGTGTTTTTTTCTGTTTCATCTATTTTTAAATATGGTAGAAGTTTGGCTTCATTGCATTAACTTCTATTGTGTAATCTAATAGTTATTACAATAAATTCGTATCTGTATAGGCTATAACTTTTAGCTTGTTTAGTATTCAGCATCAATCATAAAAAAATTATAATTATAAACAGACAGTAACTAAGTGTTTTATACCGGATTTCAAAAAGTATGATACTGGTAAATGGAAGTAATAAAGCTTATAGTTACCAAATATCTCGATAATTGATCAAAATTATAAAATTAATCAAGATTTTTCTTAAATAAGGGTCAATATTATATTTCGATCAGATGATGGTTATTATGTGTATTACACCTTAGTTATGACTGAAATAAGAATAATAAAAAGAATGCCTCAATTGTCTAATATATATATATATATATATATATATATATATATATATTCAGTTTTATAATTGAAAAAAGTAATACAGTTTACTTACTTGTAATGCAATTAATATAGCTATATTGACAGTTAGAGTAGTTAGAATTCCTCCAAATACTACAATAGTGTAATCATGTGATGCAATGAAAATACGTAAACTGACTGAAAACCATACAAACAAATAAGTTGCACATCCATAAAGACTCATATCAAATAATTGTTGTATATTTCCACGTGGATCATAAAATGTACCTTCAGAGAAGTAATATCCACCAGTAAAAAAATAAGTAGCACCATAAAATATTATAGTACCATGCCATATTCCATCTAATATCCATAGGCAAACATACCATGATCTCAAATTTGCTTGATGTTTAAGCTATTAGTACCATTATTTTTTGATTGAAAAGAAAAAAAGAAAATTTTCGTAATTAATGTCTTTTTGATGGGATCATCTAATTAAACGTCTTGAAATACTAAGGTGCTCAGTTAAATACATGTCGCCACTTGAATGTTTACTACTGCATTTTCTAACTTCTTAGTAAAAGACAAGTAAACTATTCAGTGGCTCCGTCTGCATTATATCATGACCATGAAATATTTGTAGCAAAAGTTGAGGATGTGCATAATTTACGACTGTTTGACCACAGAATTCTTCAGAGCCTTGGTCATTAACGATGCTCTCATTAAGCTAATAACTCTGAAGATGGGGAAAGAGTGCCAAATAGACATGGCAAATGGATTGGGGAGGGCGTGAAACTGTATCGACCAGAATAAAAGGGATGCAGGCTACTGATACCGTTTTGTCACCTAACATGACGCAAAATGGAAGTTAGCTTCGAAGTAAGTTGGATGATTAGGGGTTATAAAAATAAAAATAAAGTCTTTAATTTTTAGTTCCAGCTATGTTGAAAGATACACTAACTTCCTGTTTGGGATCAGTGATATAATTGGAATTTATTCCAAGTAAACAACAAAGTAAAGATGAAGGCGAACTATGAGAAAGTAAAGGTGGATGTAACCGATAATGGATCGAATTGTTGTATTTTTCGTTTTTTCCTACCGTATAGTTGGAAACTTTAGATAACAGGTAAAAATGGTATGTGATGACATAGATAGATGTCTTCTTTATCTTCCCCTGAGTCATTCACTTTATCATTCTCACTGAAATTATGATTTAAACTTCAGTGATTCTTGCCTTAATCGTTTCTTCACGGGTTGCTTGTATAAATAGTGGCAACATCTTTTTTCATATCTTGCTTTCTTTCTTAGTGAATCGTGGAATAACTTAATCATATTTAGGTTAAATATTACTTAAATATAGTGTATCTTACTCGCAGCCTATTAAGACTATAGCGAACTTCTCACTTTTCATTCATTCTCACTAGATCTTTCCACTAACTAATGAAAACGCTTTAACCATAGATTTCCCAAAGTCACAATGAGAAAAAATTAGAAGATAGATCTTGACAATCAGGCTTTTATTCTTAGAAGAAGCCAAAATTTCCTGTTTATTTGATTATAACGATAACCTATGGGACATATAACACAATATTAAACTACAAAAAAAAGTAAACAGTCACTAATGTCAGCTATCAAAGACCTGGAAAAGTACAGTAACACTAGCTCATTATAAAGGGTCAATCATCTTGTAAAATAAAAATATGTTAAAAATCAAGTATCAGTCTTAATAAGGATGACAGTTCATCCATTTTAAGTCACGTATTAAGTTAACTAACAAACGAATGTTAATTTACCCTTGATATTGTATCCAGTATTTAATATATTACTCATAAATTATTCTTCAATAACTAACATCAAGTTGTAGTTTGATAGTAGTTCTAATTATGAACTAATATTAGTTGGAGAAACCCTGAAATTCATGAGGCACTAGACTACAATTTCCTCCTAATTTGAGAATCCTCAAATTTTCCCATATTTAACCCCACGAAAAGTCACATATGAAACTTTCAGGATGATACAATAAAGTCAATCAATTCAAATTTTCCAGTACACAAATTTGACTTTATTTATTTCATAATTTTCTTTCAATATAATGGTAGTGTTATTTTTTCACCTCTAATTCTGCTGACTTTGCATATTACATGTTCAGCTTAACCTTGAACTTTGAACACATAGGTGAGGTATTAGACATAGTCATAAACTGGTGCTGCGAAAAATTTCGAAAACATTTGAGATAATCATCTAAAGCTTTCTTGTTCTCTATATATTATGATAAGATCTGGTATTCTAAACCATTATAAATAAGAAATAATAATGAATTCGATAGTTCTGTTTTCAAAAACAAAAATTTATAAACCCACCTTTCTATAAAGATATGGATTTGCATTTAATATATCATCTGGTAAATGACGTTCAAATATACCAAATAGTATACACATTAATGATGTTACAGTTAAATTATATATTGAAAATAAAACAGTTTCAAATGTTGATACAGCTGAGAAACCACTATAAAATGTATAAAGTACTTGTGTTGTTACAAATGTAACACATTTATAATAGAATAAATTCATTGTTATACATATACGATAATTAGCTTGATGTCCATGAACTAATAGAAGACGTTGTAAATGTCTGTAATGTTTGTAAAAAAGAAAAAAAGAAAATTTTAAAAGGTATAGTACCACTAAGTTTGTTACAATTTAATAGTTTGTAAAAACTTATTCATTTATCTAAAATAGTTGAAATCATGGGTCAATTGAAGCTAGACCACCATCAAAAACCTGGAAGCACTGGACGGCCGTTTCGTCCTATTGTGGGATTCCTCAGCAGTGCGCATCCACGATCCTGCCTCACGAGATTCGAACTCAGGGTCTAAAATATCATAAGTATTTAATATTGTAGACATCTACCTTGAATGTTTGTCTAAAGAAATGGAATTCAATTACAAGTAAGTACTTGTTTATTTGAAATTTCGATATCAGGGTCCTAGAACAAAAATAACCAAAGCGATAGCCTATAATTATTTTTTAACACTTCAAATAATAACCAATGGGCTGATATTTGGAAATATTTGTCCAATATTTCCTATAATCTGATATTGAGTGTTTCTTTGAATATGAGTTCCTAGTTTTACAGTAGGAACGGAAATACGCAATATCTGCTAAAGACCTCCTGACTACTAATTTTTATCAACGTATATTTATTAATTTTAATAGTTGAGATCATGAATCGATTGAAGCTAGATCACTATGGAAAACCTGGAAGCATTAGACGGCCGTTTCATCCTATTGTGGGACTCCTCAGCAGTGCGCATCCACGATCCCGCCTAGCGAGATTTGAATCCAGGACCTATCAGTTTCGCGCGCGAGTGTATAACCTCTATTTAATAGTAAGCTAAATTTGTACTTTGTATCAGTTTGACAGATCAGTGAAAGATTACATTCAGCAAAAGTAGAAGAAAGGATGACAGTGACTTTTATAGCAAAAAATGAATGGGATTGTATATAAATATATTTATGAATAGATCAATCGGTAGCTAAATAGATAGATAGATAGATAGATAAAACAGTGTGTTGTCGGCTCTCCATTTTAATTAATGAAGCCTTTGTGTATCAGTTTTTATTCATTGTTATACTGTTTATTATAATTGATCTATTAATTTTAAATGGTTATCTAACTTACTGAAATAAAGTATCAAATTTCTTTATGAAAGATTTTTTAAACAATTTAGTGGTAGGTAGAATAGTGTACTTAGTTGAATATCAACATTTCAGATTACTATTCGGTGAAATAGATATCCTCTTTGCTTAATTGTCTGAATAATTCTACCTGGAAAATCTGTTTTGTGGTTGAACTAAACCAGTTTACTGATGTAATTTTAAGTTAATGGGAAATCTTTACAAAAAGTTATATTATGGAACAATATTTTTTGAATAGTAATTTCTTTGACTTGGTCGAACATTTACTATTGAGTGAGCTCAACAATATTCGTTGTCCCTTCGTGCTGTTAATGACAATCTGTTCGTTATTTACACTATCAAATCATTTTGTTACGTCATTCAGAGATTTATGAAAATAGTCCAGAGTTAAATTAAATTAATAAAAAAATTTAGTTTTACACATACACAACCAATTTTTTTGTTTTTAAAAGTTAATCTAAATAGCGATTGTGAAAGATTATAAACAATGAAATGATTTCTTGAAGCATTTCCTCCTTTATGAATTTCATTTGGTCATGGATGAACAAATGGTGATGACATTTCTTACCAACCCTGAGCAAGTAGTAAATTAAAATCAAATCCCTACAGGTATCCTATTAGATTTTTTAACATTCAACTACAAATCATTCGTCCAACAACTTCTTTTTCAACATCAGCAAACTCTTTATTTATTTATTTATTTAAACACATAAATATTGGTACAAAGGAGCCACACAAATCTCATTCGATGTGTGTGAGGGCTGTGATACTGCCCGGATGTCCAAACCGAAGCAGGTGGTTTTCTTAGGGGGCCACACCCCGAGCCTCCGACTCAAATGTCTGATCCACAAGGCAATGGAGCATCGGAAGGAGATGCAGTTCCATGGTAGTCGGTGACCAACAATCGGTTCATACGTCATTTGTTCCTTCAGGATCCTGGACCCCATGTGCATCATTGGTTTGGAATCAGGGTTTCCCAACTCCCCTAGTTGGACTCGCCGTGCACACAAACCTGGTCAAAGCGCCGGACATTCGCTTTCCGTCCTCTTACTTTCGTAAATAACATTCCCGCCACGAGAACGCAGTGAGTAGAACTTCTCTGACAGAAGCTATATACGCATGGCCATGTGAGAGCATTTCGAGAGGGAGAGCGAACTCTCCCTACTCTCTGGCGTACTAGGGCATTTGGGGTAAACTCTTATTATTCCTTTATTATAAACAATAATTTAGAATCATTTATGAATCAATTAACTTCATCAGAATATGAATTCCATTTTCAAAATATCTAGGTATTCATATTTGGACAGCAGTCACTAATACATATCAGTATCTAAGGTAATAACGTATATAACATCCTGCTTTGTTTCACAGTCTATTCTTATATATAAACAGTCAATGTTTTCACGATAACGTCAGGGTGAAATATATTTATCAAATTCAAAATGTAACATAAACCAAAATATATTTTAAAATTAATATAAAATTTTGGAGCAGTAATTTGAATGTTTTATTAAAATCTTCACCCAGAATTGTTATACCATTAAAATTATTAAAAAAAAAGGATTACTCATGGTAACAACTAAAATACATGGTATTTGTACTGTTAATCAATAGTAATTAAAATCAATGAATTTAATGATTATTTAAATAAGCAGATGTTAATTAAACTATTTTCAGTCCAATTCAATAATTAAACAATGGACAATGTTACTCATCTATAAGATACCAACTTTTGTGTGATAACTAATAATACTATCCATATATGCAGGTACGTCCAGTTGATGAGTCACAAATAAGACAGAACACACGTCCTGGATTCAACTTCTAGTCACCATCGTTTAAATGAAATTATATATCACAATTGATTGATCACTGAGTGGTTATCAATATCATGTGTGTCAAGTCCATCTTAGTGCAGATCGAATGCTATCTATCAAGTTGCAATGTGGCCACTAGTCTAGGTGGCTCGACACTGCGTGCACTATGTTGAGATAAGATGGTGGTTGGAGGTGGTCAACAGGAAACACTGGACCTAGGTTTCGTGCTCCTTGGCACTCGTCAGCAAGGTGTACCTGTAATCTTGGGGGAACTGGTGCTCCATGACGGATTCAATACCGTGTCACCCAGCTTCCCAGTCAGAGACGTTACCACTGAGCTATCCGAGCCGCAACCAACCTCCTGTAGGACTGAGATATAATCATAATTGTACTTCAAAGCTGGAATCTAATGATCGAGAGTCCATTACTTCGGTAGGAAACCACATTATTTTAAATAACTACGTACTGAATTATTTTAATTTTTACTGATATAAATCACTGAAGTTGTTGTGAATTCGAATATTTCCAAAAGTTAGTTTTATAATGAGTCCTTATATGATTATTATAAAAATGACATATCCTTATGTCCTTTACTGTTTTATATTCTTCACAAAACTTCTTGTATTCTATATTATCTCATTTGATCCATATTTCCAATTGTTGATCATCAATATTTCATCATTCCTATTCTCAAAATGCACTTAAAACCCTTAATTGAACAATACTTCTATGTCATGATAAATTTCTTCAATCTATCCTATACAATTTTATAATGAAAGACACTTTTTTGACTGAAAAATATTCCCACAAAATTTATTACTGGATCAGATCCATAGCTAAATAGCATATATTCATGTATAAGTAACCACTTATGACTGCCTTCAACACTATTTAATTGTTTAATTCATTGAGTTGTGAAATCATTATTAGCGTCCAAGAATGATTTCGCTTCAGAAACTTGTATTTCTAAAATCGTCTACAGTATGATGGCAACCGCATGTTGTATTTAAAATAACCAGAATGTTAGTAATCAGTGTTTCTGTTGAAAATCAGTTAAATCAAACAACATATAAAATATTTTTAAAATGATTTAACAGAGGTTCTCTCACTTTCCTGTCATGTATTTGGTAGTTTAAATATATAATAGGTTGATTAAAAAGTACAGCGCACTTTTAACTGAAATCGGATAATTATAACACATACTTAACTGATCCAAACACTTTTACACAAAATAATTTATTTTTTATTTTATCAATTAAACTAATATCAGTATGGGAGCTTGTTGAGACTGTGGGATGTTGTTGATACCAACCTAATCCAGAAAATCACTGAAAATCAGAAAGCACTTGACAACTGTTTCCTTCTGGTATGGGACTCCTCAGTGTCAGTGCTCAAACACAACCTCACCACAGGTGGTTGAAATCAGGTTTGGTGGGGAGGACTTAAACTTCAGACCATATGACCAGCAACAAGTGGGTCACATATCCAATTTAAATAAACTTACGGTTCTGAGAGCGAGGTTAGGGGTCCTTGGTTCAATCTACTATGGTACGGTTGAAGGTGTACACTGAAAAGTCCCATATAAGGACGAAACAGCTGTCGAGTGCTTCTTGGTTTTTATTTATTGTTTAACTTAAGTCGACTCATCATATTAATAAATAAGCATATCACCCTTAAACTTAAAACAAACTTACATTTCACTATTATTTTTAGATTTATTAATGACTTTGACACTTCTAGATGTATTGTTTAACAATAAATACTTGGTTGACTTACTTAAACTGTGGAATGGCATAATCAGAAGCACGTACAGCTTCTTTCCCTTCTTTACCATATACACCAATTCCAATATTAGCTTGTAATAACATTGCAACATCATTACCACCATCACCTATTGCAGCGGTAATCGGAGTAACACCAAATTCTGAGAAACCTGAACGTACAAGTTGTACAACTGATGCTTTTTGTAGTGGTGTTAAACGACAACATAATACAGTAGTTAAATGTAGGCATAAATTCAAAAATGTTTTTCGTAGAGTAGGCTATATAGATGACAATTACAAAAATTGGAAATGGAATTTACTAATAAAGTAAAAAAATTATTTCACAATGATCAAAATGATAAATCGTTTTACATCAATTAGTTCACATTTGAAAATCAGAAAACACCGACCAACACTAGTATTCTGTCTGCTGAAAAGTATTGATTATTAGCTTCTTAGGTTAAAACTCAAACTAGTGAACAGCAGCGTTTGTACTGTGCATTCTTATCGAAATGAAGAAAATAAGCAACTCAATAACTTATTATATTAAATAAATAAGAAAGTCAATTGATGTCGTAAATTGTCTACGTGTATTTGGTTATTATTTATTAGTTTATGCTGACGTATGCCCAGTTGAATATATTTAAATTCACCTGTTGACCGGATAAGTCGATGATAAATAATTCGGTGTAATTTTTGCACAGGATTTCAATCATTGGTAAAAACACTGGTTGAAGCTACAATGGATTAGTTGTTGGCACATAAATAAGCCTTCATCTCAGTCTTGTCTTTTTAAGTATTAAATTGTATCGGTCTCCGTTCCATTATACACTAACAAGTAACTAGATGTGTTCACATTTATAAAAAGTAGTAATACCAGTAATATGTTCAAGATAGAACGGCCTTTTGACTGATATTTCAACATGATTATTATTTTCATTAATTAAATGCTTTTTTGACATAATAACCGAATTTCTTCACATCAAACATAACACATGTTTACAGTCTTTTTCTGTTTTCAGTGACTACTAATGACTGACTTGGAGAAGTAAATCCTCGAGTTCTAGTGAGAAGCAGTGACCAGTGGAGTTCAAACCACGTCTGTTGTAAGATGGGAACTCACTAAACACAATTGGTGAACGGTAGCTCAACTTCATGGATTGGTTGGAGTTAGGCATAAACACCATCGAATGCCGGCTCAGTGGTCTATCGGTTAGGTGCTGCGGCGCGAGAATGGTAGGTCCTGTGTTCGAATCCAGCGAGGCAAGGTCGTGGATGAGCACTGCTGAGGAGTCCCACAATAGGATGAATCGGCCGTCCAGTGCTTCCAGGTTTTCCCTGGTGGTCTAGTTTCAATTGACTCACGCTTTCAACTATGAAAATCAAAAACTTAGTTCTGATTATATTATAAGTACTAGACAGATCATTTTGAAAACTGGAATCTTACAGGAGATTAGGAGAGACCGAAATAGTACAGTGTTTACGTTTGTGACTACGACAATGGTTCTGGTCTTACGAGGAGCAATAGTTGCCACGATATTACAGAAGCCCCATGTTGACAAATGCTAAATAACAAAAGTCAGAGGTTCTTGGCTTCCTATTGATTGTTTATAACAAGTTAATATCGAAATTGATTGAATCTTTAGCGTATAAATGTAGGCTTTTTATTTGAACTTCGATAAACATTTATTAGACATCCCAATAGATTGAAAGTTTGCTTTACAACATATTAAAGAGAAAAATAATCACTTGTAGTTTCGCCACGTCAAAGATCAATGATGACATTTTATGACAGTAAATGTTTCTGACATTCAGATCAATGATGCCAAAACAACTATCTGAATAGTAAAACTATTGACTTATTACATATCTTAAACCATAAAGATGGATCTCATTACTAGCCGCAATTTTACTTTATTAAAACTTGTGACTTAATGATAATATCGATGCAATCCGCTCAGAATTCACATTCGCCTTTACGGACTGGTAAATTATAATCTTTTACATCATCAGAGGAAAAATATAATCGCTTACATATTATAGTAGTCATTTACAATATATATATAAGTCGTAATTTGACTTCATCATTTATTGCTTAACGTGTCAAGAATTTTCTAAAAGATGCTTTCATATTCTGTTATCCCACCGTCTGTAAACTAATTTGGACATCTATCCATTCTGTTTAGTGCTTATTTGTTTGTCACATACTTTTATTTACTAAAAGTTGTCTCTCTCAAATATTCAGAGGTTTTATTCTTGATTTACTCTTCCAAGTACTATACAGGTGAGTTACTATTTGTAATACGAAGTGGACTATGACAGTCATGGAACTATACTAATGTGTGGTATTCTAGTAGTTGCTTAAGGAAACGCCCAAATGAACACATATAGATGGACTGTGATATTTGTCTGTCAATCTTTATTGATTATTAAGTAGCCTCGAATACATTTTTGTTTCTAGTCACCATTTTTTATGCAGGTATATTCACTTTGCCCATACATTACTTCGTCCGTGTTAGGGCTGAAGATAATACTCTGTTGCTCGAATTCAGATATATGTGATCATTTTAAATCTAAAGTTAGTTAGTTAGTTAAAATTATTTAATTATCAGAAGGGGTTTAGTGGAGATTTAGTATTCTCATAGTTGAAAGCGTGAGTCAATTGGATGCCGGCTCAGTGGTCTGTCAGTTAAGGGCTCTGGCGCGACAATGGTAGGTCCTAGGTTCGAATCTCGCGAGTGCGGGATCGTGGAGTCCCATAATATGACGAAACGGCCGTCCAGTGCTTCCAGGTTTTCGATGGTGGTCTAGTTTCAATTGACTAACGCTTTCAAATATAAAATTACTTTGTCTATGATAATCATTCACAATAATACATTGAATAATTATGAAACCCCTCTCATCATTACGCATTATTGATAATATCTTATACCAAAAAAAACTTACATCCAATGCATATCGTAAACTTTTACCATCTATTACAAGTGCCATTGGTTCACCAGAAGAACCAGGTCTTTTTGAATGTCTATAACGTGGTCGATCATCTACATTTTTGAATGATCTACTTATAAACAATTGTTTATTATTATTATTATTATTATTATTATTATTATTATTATATAAATATTTCTCATCAACAAAATCATTTTGATAATTAAAATCAATATTTATACGATTGTTAGTTTTCATTTCTATGACATTTATTGATTTTTCAAAAAATTGTTTCATTTTCTTTTTTAAATTTCGTTTTTTTTCTCGATAAATTTTTAAATTTTCCAAATAATGAAATAATTTATAAGCAAAATTAGAAAAATCTTTACAATTTGTTAAATGAATTAAATTCATATTTGGTGTAAAATGTCCAGCAGAACGACTAACAGTAATTGCTGTCTCTTCTTTATCTCCAGTTAATACCCAAACCTAAAATTCAAAATAACAATCATTAACAAATAATTAATAAAGAAAAGAAATGGAAGAATAAAAGTTGAATTATTAACAACACCAACAACATAAGAAAGCATTTACAACATGACAGACAAACAATTTTTCACTAGCTGTACTTGAACTTAAAGATTTTATAACCCAAAATTGAATTTATCCCTAGAATCAATCAACTTACTAATTAGCTCGTAACTAAATTTGATAGAAACATTTGACATAACATTAAAAAATTGCTTTTGATGTCTGTCTCCAGTTCCTTAAGCGATTTGTCATTTGGTCAGCTTCTTTTCTTTCACGGTGAAGATTCCAAGTTAAGGTCATATATTATGATGCAGTTTGGTGATTTTCGTAAAATATGACTTATCCCCCTACGATATCTTTACTTGATTTCCTCCTCACGTGGTAGCTGATTTGATCTCTGCCATAGTAGATTATTGATGACGGTATCTGGCCAACGGATATAGAGTACCTTAAATAGACAGCTGTTTATAAATACCTACACGTTTTTACTATGAATGTAGAAGTTTTCCAAATTTTATCCCTGCACAGTAGGACAGTTTAAATGTTGGCATTGGAAATTCTGATTTTGATGTTTTGTGACAGTTGTTTAGCGCTCCAAATATTCTTCAGTTGTAGGAATGCTACCCCCAAATTGATAACCTACTCCTTCATATTCGTATCAGATCCATTTGTATATCAGTTATGCTGAATTTGAGTTTAAAGACTCTCAATTCTTCCATATCTTTTCCATAAGGTGTGATTTTTTGAAATTTCGATTACCGGAGATGGGATCGATTTGGTCCTCCTGCTTCGTTTTGAACATCCGGAAAGTATCACAGCCCTCATACAAACCAATGATAACTGCTACTGGCCTCATTGTTATTGTGTGACACATGTATTTGGTGCCCCGTTGTGCCAATGTTTATGTATTCAAATAAATGAGAAAATAAAGTGGTTTTTTATAGTGTGGTTTGGAGAAACCCATATTGCTTTTTTAAATCATCCTTGCAGGAAAATACTTCCATAACGTCTTCATACCCTGCGTTATCTGTTTTTCGACCTTGTCGTTCATGTTTCTCATCAGAATGTTAGGATCTTTTCGTGAGAAGTTCACTATAATGTACTGCAGCCTGCCATATGATTGGTAGTTATTATCTTTTCTACTGTTATTAGTGGGCGCGTAGAACTGAATGACATAAATTGTAATCCATTTCTTCTCTGTGTCGAAGGATGTTTAGTGATCTTCAAGCCATGAGTTTCGCATCCTACAAGCTCTTTTCAGGCTTCTTTGACCAGCATCAACGCAACTCCCTGTGTATGTGGAGATATCTTCTTCTACATGATCAAAATATAAAAATTCCGCTTCGAAGGTTAATTCAATTGTTCAGATTGTATTCGATGAATTTTACTTAATTCATGCACCATGAGGTTATATCTTCTCATTTCCGCCAGTGTTTGAATGATCCTCCCGGTCTTCAACACTGCCTAAACACACAATGTACCTATATTGAATGTTGCTCTGGTTTTCAGATAATAAATAAGTCCAGTAACTTTGGGAGAATCGTGGTTTTCTCTATGAGGTGTCATAGCCGTTTTAAATGACGAACATTGGACTTGATAGGTTAAATAACTTTCACTGGTTAGAGGGTTCTATGGAAGTTTTTTCTTACAACCAACAATGAGATTATTCAAACCAGTGAAAATCAAATTAACATTCATAGTCGGTTTCACGAGCTAGCGACTATCTGAACTCAATAGTTCAGTGGACAAAAAGTTGCCTATTGGAAGCTAAAGGTAATGGGTTCAAGCTGTGGAATATTCGTTGACACTGAGATCTAGGTACGAGTCCCAAATGGAACGAAATATGCAACTTAAATTCTACTGCTAATCCCAATGCATTTGTTTTATAAAAAGTTTCATTTGAATGTTGAATAATACCTACTTAGAATGCATGTATATAGGAAAATAATACATTGAAGATTTTCTTACTTGAATTCCAGCATCACGAAGATTTTTTAGACATTCATGAACACCAGGTTGAAGTTTATCTTCAACTCCAGTAATACTAACTAATGTTAAATTATATTCAATCTTTGAATAAATTTTTTTTAATGCATCATTACGTTCAGAGCCAAATAATGAATTGGCATGATAAAATTCATCGAGTAATTGGTAATACTCTTTAGAATCCACTTGACGACTTGCATAAACTAAAGTACGTAGTCCATTGATAGCAAATTGGGTAACGTATTTACTGGCTAACTGTTTCAAATCTCCACTTGATAAGTTACTTATCTAGAGACAAAACATAAATGATGAAATATATTTGATTATCAATTAGTTTTAATCATTTTGTAGATCGGAATTTCAATATTCATCGAAATTCTGTTAGTTACTATTTATAGTTATTCATTTAACCTTGTGTATTACCTCTCAATGAAATTGATTGAAGTGATTTTCTGATATTTCCAATTACCTTTGGATTTCACATACATAATTACTTAGTGATCATCAGCTGATAATTAGTATTTAAACTGACAATTTCATCTCGGTGTGTTAATGCGGTATGGCAACTTGAGCCAATGTACAAACGTTCAAGTTCTACTTTGTGATTGACGGATCAGCTGATAAATATGGTACAAATTAAAATTATGTATGAACAATATTAGAGAATATGAAATTCATTATAAAATCTTTCGATTGACTTTACTACTCTGTTTTGGATAATTCTAACTTGGTAAAAAATAATTTTATTTCGTAGGCCGCTTATACTGTGAAGTATTGAAACATTTTTTTCCAGTCCATGATATTTCAGCCATTTTACACCTTCTATTTTAAACGTTATTATACAAACAATATTTGAGATTTATTATCGATTACTTTGAATTTCCGTGTTAAACTCCCTTACTGCTTGATATTGTACCAATGATGAATATTCTTTTTTGAAACTATGAACTATTGATTGTATGTATATTTAAGCAACTTTAATGAAGCTTTCATGATGCCCATATACCTGCGAATACAGCAATGGTATCTAAGGTCTAAGTGTAAGGTTGCGAAAGATAAATGGATTTCTAAAACTTCTACCGAGCTAATAATTGGGCGAAAACTCATCTCGATAGGCTCAAAGGATGATAAAGAGCGAGGGAAATTCAAATGTAAACCAGTAAAATGTTTTTGCAATGATTGTGAGCAATAAAGTCAAAGAAGATAGAAATGATAGAGAAGGTAAGCAACAGTAGACAACTGCTCCGAGTCATCAACGAGACAGTTACCAAAACGTCAGCTATTTGTGAAAATATGCCAGGAAGAGACGGAGCCCTTATTTTAAGATATTAGGTCGATAGATAGAACACTATAGGGAACAATTCAACCGTTACCCACCTACCCTCCAGTTACCCACTATTCTAAAACAATGTGCATGGAAAACTAGCACAGTCCACTCAACTCTTGGTCGGGTTGAATGGTTTAAAGCTAATATGAAGAAAAGGGGAGAAATAGGACCTGACGGACTAAACACTATCCATTTTTGCTTATAATGCTTGTGAATTAAGGCTATATTGAGGCGATACACACAGTATACACATATGCCAATTAGAGACTGACGAGTTGCAGTCTTAGCACATCGGTGGGAAGATTCAAACAAACAATACTAAATGTACTGTTCATTTGTTTGCGAACTTTCATCTCCACATAATATCAGTTATCATAAACTAAACTCTTGTTTCCAAGTATTTAAAAACTGGTAAAATAAACCTTGATAATGGAATGAATTCATTATGATCGACAAATCTTATTTACTGGTACTTCGTTTAAATTTATTAAAGCGATTAGATATATCAAATACTTGCTTATGTATGAAGTTGTTCTTTTGATGTTTTTTTATTTTAATGAATACAACAGTGCTAGTGTCTTGAGTGTTTTTAATTTATTTGAATCGCGTCATAAAATGATATCACCGAAAGAGGTCATCAGGGATAGCGAATACAGACGAATTATTTAATTTGACCACTAGAAACCAAAAGGCACTGAACAGCTATTTCACTCCGTTATGAAACTTTTCAGTACACATCTACAACTTCGAAAGAAAACAAACCTAGAACATAAGGTCCATATGCAATGGAGTGTAGTCGTTGAACACCACAAATTGTTGAAGATTAACATGTAAACCATCGGTTACTAGCTTGTTCTTAAGGTTAATTTCTTGCCACCAGACTCAAACACCCTGAGTTCGACTCTCTGGGGTAGGGTTGTGGGTGTATATTGTTAAGGGGTTCCATATTAAGATGATTCAGCTGTTTGGCGTTTTTCAGTTATCAGTGACTGCCTATGTAAATCACTCCTGAAAAAACTATTTTTACGACATTTTTAAATCTCTTTTGAAATTTAACTGTAATTAATCATTCAATTCATTTTAAAACTTTCAAGTTCCCGACTGCATCAAAAAGGGGAGTTAAAAAACATAAAATTCACAGTGTTTATTATAGATAAGTAAAATTCAAAGTTATTTTCAACGGAAAACGCAATAATAATTATTATTCACATCATTTTTGCAGATAGGCGATTTCTCTTTACATAGGTGTAATATTAACAAGATTCCTACTGGAAATCACTTAGTTAAAGCTCACTCACAGGCATAAAATGGAACATTTAAGGATTTTGATGAAAATTATTAGTCAGTTAAAAGTTGAAGTTAACACTCAGTATATTTGAATCAAATTTTAAATCAATTGCGCGATCCCATTTTTGATATTTAGAAATGAAATTTGATCTGTCCTGAATAACGAAAATGAGATAATAAAAATCATGATAGGTTCAAGTCGTGGAATATTCACTCATATTAGGATCGTAGGTACATATGTCTGACAAATCCTAAATGGAAAGGAACATTCATCCTGGATTCCACGGCTAACTACATTTAATCTTTTCCAGACAAATTAGTACATTTCTTAAAAATTAACTACATTGCTTAAATAATAGATAGTCGTCTATCGTTTTTTTAGATAGATCCCAGTAAGTGAATAATATAAATTAAAAGAGTCACTTCCCTCACATTATTCTTATCAGATCCCATTAATATTATGGATATAAATTGAATACATTACAAGCCATCTACTTTTAACGTAGTACAAATAAGCGTTTTATTAACCTTAGAAATTCCTCTATTTCAAATGTGAATTATTTTGATGAACATAGGAAACATCTGAATACAATCAAAAATGATTAGCAAATAATTTTCAGTGAAATAAGAAAACACCATCAACAACTAAACGTTTAATGTTAAACATTGCAAGTTAGATCCATCGTGAAGTTACACAAAATGAATTTATAGTAAAAAGTTTATTGTTTTTGACAGACCGTACATCAATTGATTTATTGAGATTAGACTAGATAGATAGGCTGAAATTTACAGACCGTCCCTGAAACTCCATATACAATAACATCAGTGCACCGAAAATCGAAGAATAAAACTCAATGATGTCGTTAATAAAAAAAGACGTAAAATGACATTTAATGAGGGACTTGAAGAAGGAACTAAATCTCTAACACTTTGACAAGAGTCAAAGCTGGTGTTTTGGTTTTAAAGAACTCTACAAGTTATGGAGTTTTAACATTGTGCAAATAAGCGTTTTATTAACTTTAGAAATTCTTCTATTTTAAATATGAATTATTTTGATGAACATAATAAACATCTGAATACAATCAAAAAAATGATTAGCAACTAATTTTCAATCTACATATAACTAGATACTTCAAAAACAAAGTCAAAATAATAAGAGTTTTCCACACAACAACAACAACAACAAAAAGATAACTGTTAACTAATATTCAAAATATAGTATCCAACCAAAATATCTTATTTAATAATATGCTACAAACTGATATACATGACAATGTAAAGTACAATTGGCAAAGTATTGTTAATTGTTCACTAGTTTGCTACTTATATATGTACACCATATATACACGTATATATCAAAGCTAAATTTCATTATGTATAAATGTCAGCTAAAAAACTATTTTTTTTCTTTTAAAAGTATCTTTAGAAGCAATAAACATTAATTCACTAACTGTAATTGTGATATGTATGACCATTTTTTAAATGAATAATACATTCAATTGTTTTCAATTTGTTTCTATGTATGGAATGTGATAGCTTATTGTAAAGGATTGAAATAGAGTTAACCTCTTAATCTATTTTTCTTTGTATTAATGTGTTATAGATACTGGTTTGCTTTTTCAAAAGAAAACGTAAATTTAATAAAATGATATAATCTATTTTGTTTATTCAATGTTTATCGAAGTTAAAATAATTATAGGATTGTAATATTCATATTCTTAACATAAGTTACCAATAACGAATGAGTTCAGGAAGAATATGAACTGTAATATTACTTATGTCTGTTATCCTTAATGAGGCATAGGCCACTGATCAGCATTCTCCAACTCACACTGTTCTGTACCTTCCTTTCTAGATCTATCCAGTTGTTGTATATTCTCCTGATGTCTGTCTCTATTTCTCGGCGTAATGTGTTCTTTGGTCTTCACCTCCCCCTTTGGCTTTCAGGATTCCATGTGAGGGCTTGTCTTGTGACGCCGTTTAATGGTTTCCTCAAAGTATGTTCTATCCACTTCCAGCGCTTCATCCTGATTTCTTTTTCTACTGAAATCTGGTTTCCTCTCTCCCACAGAAGGTTGTTGCTGATAGTGTCCGGCCAACGGATCCGAGGTATCTTGCGTAGACAAGTGTTAATAAACACCTTTATCTTCTGAATGATAGCTTTCGTAGTTCTCCAGGTTTCCGCCTCATACAGTAGAATTGTATTGACATTTATATTGAAAATTATGAACTTGGTGTGGTTGACAATTGTTTTGAGTTCCAGATGTTCTTCAATTGTAGATATGCTGTTCTTGCTTTGCCAATCCTCGCCCTCACATATGCATCAGATCCACCGTGTTCATCAATGATGCTGCCTAGATATGTGAAGGATTTTACATTCTCCAAAGCTTCTCCGTCAAGTATGATTTGATTGGTACATGTTATAATATATCGGAGATATCTATTTAAATATTTAAACTGATCATTAAATATACTAATGTTGCATAAAATTCTATTTTAGTAAGAATAAATTAAAACTGAATTGGAATTGGAATAATATTGGAATGAAATTAGAATTAAAGCAATCAGTGATTGTATTTTGATCGCAATAAAACTAATTTCCAAATGATCATCTACTTCATCTAAGTGAATTGATCCTGAATAGTAATAAAATGATCTAATATGAATTAAATTAAACAAAAATGATTATAATTGTGTTATCATTACAATGAATGTTAGAACTAAGAGACAATCAAATAGGAATAATATATTTGTAAAATCTCAGCGAATGAATTTGAAAATTCCTTGAAAAAGCTTGAACCAGATTGCCAGGCGAAACGTTGGATTTACTTCAAATTCATTCAACTGAGATTTTACAAATATATTATTCCTATATAATGTCTTACATCAACTCGGCGCTCAAATACTGTGAAAGTATTCGCTCTAATTTAGACGAAAATTCTTATATATAAGAGACAATCAGTTGAATAATTCTTGGTAAATAGTAAATAGATGGAGATTTTTGGCGGCAAATTAGGCGATAAACATCATTTTCTGCAAATTTATGCAGATGTAAACTTACTTTCACAGCTATCAATATCTTGTTTAATTAGTAATAATATTCCGTTTGTCGCATTCAAATTATAATTAAATTTTAGACTTATAAACCAGAGATTCCTATCAACTACAGAGCTGTCACTATTTTAGTTCCTTCTGGCTGTTCATATTTAGGACTTAAATGATGAGTTTGTGTTGGAATATTAACTCATTTATTGGATTTCTTAATGACTGAATTTAAAAGTTGATCACTTTTTAGAAGTCGAGTTTTAGTTGGAACATTCATACAGAGAGTAAACCAGTTGATTAGTTTCAAAAAAGAATAAATGCATGTCATTATCAATCAATGTTTAAAATATTAGCTCTGAATCAATGTAACATTCAATTAGGCTGTAGTCGTACATTATAGATAAGCAACTGTTCAATTCGTAAAGAAGAAAACATATATTCCACACAGTAAAAAATTACGGTTCCTTTAAAAGAATTGAGATAGAAATTGATAATACTTAAAATAGAAATAAATCAGTTGAACTATCTCACCTCAAAAATACTTGATTCAGCACCTTTACTATGAATATGATATGTACCATCAGGATGTTTAGCCATAATACTCATACGTTTTCGAACTGAGTCAAATTCTAGAACTGCATCAATGGAATATTCCATAATTTCTGACTGATCTGAACCATTTTGTAAAAATTGATCATACTCTAGACGATATATTCTGGAATGTGAATTATTGTCATTGAGTAATTTACCCATAAATTGAATACCAAGTTTTGCTGCACCTATAACAAGTGCTTTCTCATCTGGTGATGTTGCCTATAAATGTTTTGCATGAAAAATAAGTAATAATATATAAAAACATGAAACAATAAAATGAATGAAACACCTAAAATAAATACTGATAGTCTATTTATCAACTATTAGGTTATTTAATCAGAATGATAGAAATCGATTCACATTAATCTGACAGACAAGAATATTGGTATACGAAGTTCAGCGAAGAGATCTCTTTTCAAAGAATTTATTATCAAGCTGTACAATCGTATATATATATGAAAATGTTTTCTTAAGGTACTAATTCCGTGAGGAAATGTGAACACTAACAACCAAGATTATAATACTAGATTACGTAATACGAATAATAATAACAATACATTTAGTGAATAGAATAAGATGATTAAAATGTCTTGGTTACAATAATTAAAGGTCATTAAAGGTCATAGAGGTGTAAAATAAATAAAATGATATGATGAGTATTCATGAATAAAATAATGCGAATATAAAACATAATTAAAGGGGGAATGGAGTAATAATAATAATAGAATGATACTAATAATAATATTAAGGCCATGGTAACGATAATGATAAAACGTACTTCTTTTGTACACATAATTCTGGTTTGAGCTCATGTTTAAATGGGAATTATATGCCAATATTAGTATATATATTATAGGAGGTGAGTTATCTAGTCAAATTAATGCTTAAACATTTTGTCAATTTTAGACATTATGTCTTTTCTTAAAGTCATTCTCGTTAAATAAAGTAGAATATCACCATAAAGTGATCAAAACTCTTCTTCTTTTCTGTTTTGTGTTGTTTCTTTTCTTTGTAATCACATGAATGTTAGCAAATAAACACCGAGCAAAATCTTCTTATCAGTAACATTCCAAGGAGTTAATGTAATACTTCAGGGGTTGAGTTGAACATAGGAATAAAGAAATAACTTAATATCAGCGTGTTTTTTTTTAATGTAAAAAGTATTTCCTATAATAAAGACTATAACATGATGTATTAAACAACAACAATGAATAAAACGCTATTACCCTGAACGCATCTCTCGATAATTGGATATTACAATTTATATTCTTGCCCTTATCTCAAATATTTCAACAGACATATCTAACAAGAAGAAAACATTTCACACAATCCATGTACAATTGTTTTAAGAAGATTATGCACAGAAGAAATAATGCAAAAACTTTACATACTAAAAAGAAGCCCTGAACCATTAAGAAAATATCTACTAAGATACTCAATGTGAAGGATGGTCTTTGTGAGAAAGATTTCTAGTAGAAAATTCAAGTTCAAATTAACAGATTAAAAATGATTAAAACACAATTGTTTTCAATAATTTCTCATAAGGTTCTACAATTATCACATCCAAATCAATAATTCACAAAAGAAAATTGGTCAAGTTTAAGGCAGAGTACATCATTTAAGAGAAACTGTAACATGTGAATCAAGGAATGTTGTTTGTCATATCAAATCAAGTCGAATCGTTAATGTTTTTGGGATGACTAATATGAAGTGTTAACTTGAATCAGTTTATAAGTGTAATAAAATCGTAAGATAAACGATCAGAATATATATATAGTTGACATGGGGGTGAGAGATAGAACAATGGGATTACAAATCAGAAATTACGTAATATGTAGAATAATATGAATTAGGTCAGATATAGTAAATAGGGGTGGGTGATGAATAAATTTCTCTAAAAGGTTAGCAAGTGTGATAATATTAAGAATAATAATGACTGGTAAGATGTGTAGATAAAATAAGTTTAATATGAACATTAATCAAAATAATGTCACTATGAATGACCTATTCAGTGTACAATGAACCCAGAAAACAATGTACCTATTTATATTCGACAATTTTGATGTTTGATTATAATTCCTTGAAAAAGCTTGGACCAGATTGCCAGGCGAAACGTTGAATTTACTACAAATTCATTCGCTGAGATTTTACAAATATATTATTCCTATATAATATCTTAATGTCACTATATTATAAAATTGTTTATTAACAAGTTGACCAGGGTAAAAGGAGCGGCTGGACATATTTCTTTTGAATGCAAAGCTCTGACTTTTTGATCTTCATAGTAACTGCCTCAGCCGTCTACAGGATTCTCAGTCTGACAGAATTAGGTAGACTGCTGTCTTTCAGACTGAGAATCGTGCAAACGACTGAGGCAATTACTATGAGGATCAAAAAGTCAGAGCTTTGCATTCAAAAGAAATATGTCCAGCCGCTCCTTTTACCCTGGTCAACTTCAGGATCAACTTGTTAATAATCAATTTTATAATATGGTGACATTAACTTGATTAATGTTCATTTTTATATCCTTAAAACTTATTTTATCTACACATCTTACCAGTCATTATTATTATTATTGTGTTTTAATATGATGGGAATTTTTCAGCGATAAAAATGATTAAATAACTAAATGACCTCCTAGAAACTAAACATTCTCAAAAACACTTAATTAGTGCGATGATCCCTTCATACTTTTAATGTGCATTTCGTATTCAGTTGTTTGATACATGATTCTCCTTCGTCAATCAGAAGTCGTCATAAATCACAAGAGAATAGAGAGTGATAAAATTACTTTCTTATTCTTTAATTTTAATATTTAATTTATTTTGTTTTGATTAGGTGAAGAACATTTATATCATCTTTTCGGTCTGATAACTTAGTCAATTGGGATAGATAAACCTTATACAACCTTCTTCGACACTATTGTATACCTGAGAAGATCGTCAACATCATACGAAATTCATACGATAGACTACTGATGAGACCCATTACAATAAACAAATGATTTCAATTTCTCCCACAATACATTATTATTCTTGTTTTGTTTAAAACGTATTAAAAAAAGTAAATAAATGAAATCTAATCTTTTTTGTTTATTTAAATAATGATTTATAGAATGCCGCCAAAATTAAACTCTCTAATCAATTTTAATTAAATTTCTTTTTTAAAAATTTAAACTAGTAACGAATGGTGTTATCAATTTCTTACGTAATGTTTTTATTAGGTATCAAATTTACATTACATTGTAACACACAAAACATATTGATCATTCCCTTAAAGACTCAAAAAAACACAATAGAAAGTACAATTGATCATTACTTCGGTAAAAGTGACCTTAAAAATGGAAACTTTTTTTGAATTTATTAAGGTTTCCTTTTGAAAAAAAAACCAAAAAAGAGTAGTAGATTAGCAGTTTGGTATATCTATCTCTATGTATAAAAATGCCACTTAAGTTGGTGAAGAAAAGAACCTTGGCATATATCAACATTGATTGATGGAAAAGTACAAAATAACATTTTAATAAAGCTATATGATACTGTTATGATTGATGAAGGTTAATAGACAGATATTTTAATAATGAAATGGTTAATACATTACATGTTTAGTAATTGACATTAACGATTGCATTTTGTTTTGTTTTATTCAAAGAAAGTATATTTTAAGAATGATGTTCTATCATGAATCGATACTAGACAGATGCAGAATGCATGGAGATAAAAGTAAGCACTGAACATTTGTTTCGTTTAGGTACTGCACAGGCATACACATACAGGTCAGCAACTTTATCCTTGATAAACATACAACCTATCGGTCTGTTAACGGACACGACAAAATTTAGTTTACTGGAAGGAAATTTTCCATGATTTCAAATTTGATCAACTGATACTATAGAACAACGATCACTTTTACTACTGTAGGACTTCACTAATTTGTGAAATTTATTTTTCATTTAGTCTCTATTTAGTGCAAGATTATTCTCAGGGATAATAAAGTAATCCATCAATGATAATGAATTGGATTGGCCTTGTCTACCACAAATTCACTTAAATTAAAAATTCTAATCAGTATATTTTGGGGGGCGAAATCCGATTCACACGTCCTCGTCGTGCCTCCTGGATAATGAAACTGTTTTCATGAACTAACGTGAGCGATTAATCGTGGATGGTCGAGATCGGCCTGATCAACCATTCTACCAATACTCAAAAACGATTACGAAAGCTACTAGGAGTCATTGCATAACTATTGAGGGTTCAAAAGAATGGTAAGAATAAATAAATGAGTCTGCCCAAATAAAAATAAAAAACAAAAAGACAAAAAAGGGTTGTGGGAGTTATGTAATGGTTCTGAGTAAGATATGCAGAAACAGCTTTCCAACCCCGCTAGTTGTGCCGTGCTTCGATGTAGCACCCTTCTCCAGAAGGGCCTACTAGGCTTCATCATTCTATATGGCTGGAAGATTTTTGTTCTCTTGTCAGGTTGTGAAAACTTTCATTTCGATCTTTCTTAAGTTCATCACTATGCAGTTCAGAATATTGGCATTCTAGAATAAAACGTTTATTTCTCAGCGCCCAGTGATTTTCATTAGTTTTGAAACTTGTATCATTTGATGACGAAAATATGTTGATGTTCATCTCTATAAGCTAACCAGCTGAATTAATAATTGAATAAGAATTGGGCAGTGAAAGGCTTTTGAATCCTTAATTGCTTGCTTCAAACTATGTAAATAAATTATCATGCAGATTTCAAAGTTATTTTGAGCAATAAAAATGTTAAGGTGATTAGCAGACATAGAATGTATTTTAGCAGAAGACCAATAAGGAAAGAACTCAATTGAAGCGCAGTTGGTAGGAAAATGCATGAACAATGAGATCAGAGAAGAAGGACTGATATTTACGGAAGGAACAATCAAGATTGAGACAATTGATTATTATTTTGCAAATTAACTGTTTACTGTATGGTTATCAGATTTTAGTGACATAGTTTTTCATTTGTGCTTAAATACATTCGGTTGTCCCCCACCCATGTTCTGTCCACTACACTACTGACTATTTTTTTAATAATACATTATATGTGTTATGCCGTTATTTGGAAAAACTAAATACTAATAAGTAAATACTTATAGTGGCTAGCAGTGGAATCCAGTTTGACGCGCGTTTCGTCCTATTTGGGACTCGTCCGCTGGATGTATCTGCATCTCAGAGTTGATTTTCACTCTGGGACTCGAACCCAGTACCTTTCGCTCCAAACGCCATCGCGTTATCCACTCGGCCACTGAGTCCTGATAGCCACTTGCTTGTGCGATGGGGTGAAGTTTAAATTCAACTTAGTATTGTTTGTTTGAATTTTCCCATCGATTTGTTAGGACTGCAACTGGTCAGTCTTTAATTGGCATATGTGCATACTGTGCGTATTGCCTCGATATACCTTAATTCACAAGCATGGTTAGCAGAGATGGATAGTGGCTAGCAGTGGACTGACCAGTTGCAGTCCTAACAAAATCGATGGGAAGATTCAAACAAACAATACCAAGTGAATTTAAACTTCACCCCATCGCACAAGCAAGTGGCTATCAGGACTCAGTGGCCGAGTGGATAACGCGATGGCGTTTGAAGCGAGGGTGCTGGGTTCGAGTCCCAGAGTGAACATCAACTCTGAGATGCAGGTAGATCCAGCTGACGAGTTTCAAATAGAACGAAACGCGCGTCCTGGATTCCACTGCTAGCCACTATCCATCTCTGCTAATCAATCTATTGATTTACATTTGTAACTCTACACTTAACGATACTACTTTAAATGTTGATCCAATTAAATAGATAATTTTTATATGTAGACAGATAATCTATTAATAGTATCGTTTATTTACCAAATCAATAATTTCATAGTTGAAATCTATATTTAACTCCCTTATTCACCAAATGAAATAAATCAAAGTAGTCAATAAATATAAAATATCTATCCATCAATAAAATTCAATAAGTGTAAAATCACGTTTCAACAGATATAAATAAAAGAAATTCAATATACTTAAAGAAAATAATTTAGAAGGGGAGATTTTGTAGAGATTTTGGTAATTTTATAGTTGAAATCATTAGTCGATTGAAGCTAGACCACCATGAAAAACCAGGAAGCATTGGTTGCCGGCTCAATGGTCTAGAGTTTAAGTGCTCGCGCTGAGGAATGATAGGTTTTGAGTTCGAATCTCGAGATGTGGGATCGTAGACGCTCACTGCTGAGGAGCCCCACAATAGAGTGAAAAGGCCGTCCAGTGCTTCCAGGTTTTCCATGGTGATCTAGGTTCAAGTGACTCATGATTTCAACTATAAAATAATTTAGAGTTTTAAATATATCATCTAGACATTACATACTAAGTATCTTTGATTTTTTTAATAGAGATTATTAATTGAGCAATAAATGTTATCTAAGCAAAGTTTGATTATAATTTATGAAGTAGAATAAGAAATATTTATTTCACTTTATTGTTATTCTATAACTATTTAGTATAAAAGGAAAAGATTATCCTCTCCAAATTCAATGACTTTTCATTTATATCTAGTTTGGCAGAATTATAAATACACTTGATTGTTAAATAACCACGCAGAAGAATTGTAAATTCTAGTAAGTGCAGAAATATTGGACAGTAAAATTTACAATCTGTCTAAATAACCATTTTATGCTGAATGTAATACAGTTTCATCCTAATGTTATCGATCCTGTGACTGTTCACCAAAAGAAAAAAATAATTTCTAAACTTACTTTGCCAAAGAAGCTCAAATCTACAGTCCCGTTAAAGCATTTGACTCTTAACCATTGGGTGGCATACTTGAACTAGAATCTACGTAGTTCCTTTTAAAGATCTATACCTAGTATAATTATTCATCAGATAAATAGTACTAATTAAAGTCCAGTACATCATCATGTATTTAATTAGTTAATTGGAATAAATCAAACTAATCAATAAGATGTCAAATAATTATTTACTTAGGAAATATTACAATAACAGAAAACAAGATGACATAACAGATGTAAACTAAGAAAGTTTAACATTAATCTGATTATTCCATAGTTTCCCTTCTTAGTTCTTATCTCACCCTAACATTTAATTATCTGACTTTTACTTCAATCCAGTGGAACATCATAAGTATAATATTTGAAGTTTAGTATACTATTTTTCGATTGTTTTTGAAAAATGGTTTAATTTACTAGAAAAGAAATATAAGATAACCATCCAGCGGTTATATCACTGAACCTACACAGACAATAATAGTTTCAATACAAAAAAGGTTAGAATTTGTTGCTAGATTCATGTTTAATAAGACTATAAATTAATAGAGATGATCCAGAATAATAAATAACGGTTGATCATAAAAATGTGACTCAACTATATAATGCTTTTAAACTTGGCGAAATATCATATACTAATGTATACTACTATTGGACTTTTTATCAAGATATTCAATATCTTCAAGCTTAGTTAAACAAAAAACACATTCATCAGTAACTCAATTGAATGTGTTCTTACTGAGGAAATATGAAATTTCCCAGACAAAACATGATCTAAATTTCAAAACGTTTTCCAAGACTTTGGTTAATTAACGCTACCTCAAAGTATTTGTTTACCTTAATAAGATGTGATGTTTCCTGTTAAGGTTTTAAACAATAGCTCTAAGATTAAATAAATATTGGTAAAGAATAATCACTATATTTCACATTTTCAATGGTGATCTAGCTTCGACTGATTTGTGAATTCAACTTTGAAAATACTACTAACTCAAATTAAATCTTGACAGAAATATCAATACCATATCAATAGTACTTAAGTCAGTAATAAACTTTCAGTCTTTTGAGTATCATAAAATAGATAAATGTAAAATTTGTCAAGAAAACCAAAAGATCAACAGCAGTTAAATTGGAAGGTAAATCACACCATGAATTGACATTCTATGGATAACCACTGAAATTCATCAACAGATTTTTTTGTTCAGAAATTTTGATCAATACTCATTCAGAACTGTATATTGTCTGAACGTTAAAATCACCAAGATTCATAGTGACAATCTTGATATTGAAGAAAGGAAATGTACAGTTATTTAGTATTCGATTAGGTCACCTCCAATATTCCTAATTAACACACTATTGAAATATAAATTTTCTAACCTATTGCCAGTGTATGTAACGCATAAATGTAAGGCTACAATAAAAAATGAAATTCATGACTATTTTACTAGAATACCTCTTATCATCATTTTAAGTTATACGTTGTTTATTATAATAAACTATTAGGATTCATAATGATAATCTTGATATTCAACAAAGGAAATGTACAATTGTTTGGTGTAACTAGTAAATTAATGTAACATTGTTCACGTTGTTAACTTCTTTGGTAATAGTTTCCCAGACATTTTTATAATTTCAATGATATTAAAACTTTAAATTATTGTATTTTAAATCAATAGATAAATGATAATCTGTTTATAAAGGATCCTAAAGATAACTTATATAGTGGTGAATATTCAAATGTCCGATACTCTATCTATGACGTCCATTCATAATGCTGACTACCTTCTACATAAACAAAACCATTAATAAAGAAATCTTAAATTCAAACAAAAATAATAACCAAATTAATATATTTGTAATATCCCAATGAGTAGAAAAATTAGATTTTTTGACGTTTCGTAACTCAGTGTAAGCCACTTCTTCAGAGAATAAATAACTAAAAACTTTTTCAACTCATTGGGATGTTATAAATATATATTATTTTTATTTATAACAATCTACCCAATATTCAATTTATTCAAAATTATCCAATCAAAACTTGGTAATGATACCAACCATAATAATAACCATTTACCTGATAAAAATTATCCAAACACATAGTTTCATCTGTTCCATTTTGTTTTTCTTCATTGTCTTCACTAACTTCTACTGTATGACATAATGCTAATGTTGTAAGACTAATTATTAATTCATTAGGTAATTGATTATTATTATTATTATTACTATTAGATACATTATTAAGATTTTCATTTGATGATGTAATATTTTTATTAGATTTATATATTTTATTTAATACTAAATGTGATACTTGTTCATTATTATCTTCTTCATCAAATTCAGAATCAGATGATGATATAAATCCATAATTATCTTGATTATATTGATTTTGATATTCATTTAATTCTTCATAAACAACACCAATACGACCAAATTTATTTGTTCTTTGTAAAATTTGTTTTAATCGATTTGATTGATTGATATCCTTCTTCTCCCTCTTCTTCATCTTCTTGTTGTTGTCCTTCTTCTCATCATCATCATCATCACCGTCATCATCATGATTATAATCGTTGGTATTTTGAAGCTTTTGATTACTTAATACATATACTTTATCTATATTTAAAATAGCTATTTTATATAAATTCATTTCATTTAATGTTAATGTACCAGTTTTATCACTAAATAAATAATTTACTTGTCCTAATTCATCAACTAATTGTGGAGTATTTGATTTTGTATTAAGATCTTGTTTAAAATCATATAAATTAAGATCATTTCTTATAAAATAGGATAACATAATTTGTTGTATTTCAGTTGTTATAATTAATGATATTGGTATTAAATAATTTAATATAAATAAAAAACGAAAAACATTTTTAATTTGTAACCATATAGAATTTAAACTTTCAAATGATATATATATATGATTTAAATGATAAAATGACCAATATTTTGTTACCATGGCAAATATTATACAGAATATAATCATAATTATCATAAAAGTAAATAAAATTTGATTAGCTTTACTTTCACGTGTTGTATATTTACGTTTAACTTTATTAGAATTTAATAATAATTTTGTATCATTCCCTGTATAGATAACTAAACCAATAATATATTTTGTATTTTTTAATTTACAACCTTTATATAATATATTATTATTATTAATTAATAATTTTTTATTATTTATTAATATTGTTATATAACCTTCAAAATTATTAAAATCTTCATTAGGTTGTTGATAATTAACTTTAATCAATAAATCAATAAATTGATTATTATTATTATTATTATAATTATAAATTATATTTTCATTTAAAAATTTTTTATATATATTATGTGTATCTAATAAACAATAATGAGTTTTTATAGTATTTTCACCATCAATATTCACTGTAGTTATATAACATTTATTATTTAAATTACTTGTTGATAATATAATTAAATCACTAGGGAATTCTTCATTATTTTTACATAATATAATATCACCAACATGAATAAATTTAGATTTTTTTAATATCCAATAAATTTCATTAGTTTCTATATTAATTTTCATAATAAAAAATTTTTTTTCATTAATTTGTTTATCTTGATAATAACGTAATAAATCATAAATTATATCTTTTATTATAGTAACTAATAATACAAATGAGAAGGGGCCAATAATAGCAAAAATTGAAGTGGCACCATCAGCAAATAAATGTATAATAGCAACTAATATAAAAAATATATTAGACATATAATGTAATTGTTCATAAATAATTTTTGGTAAAAAATTCCATATTGTATAAATGGATGTTTTAATTTCATTATTACAATATTCTTTGATAGATGTATATGTTAATGGAGAATAATTTTGTATACGATGAGCATAAACAGTTCTTGATAATGATGAAGATGATGATGATGATGATGGAGATTGATCTGTATGAGTTGTTTTGGATGAATTAACAGGTTTTTCATTATGATGATCCATAAAATAAGAGAGCAACTAAGTGAATGATATATTTATTTTGTATATAAGAATCTATTTTAATTGATAAATAATTTAATAAAACTGAAGAAATGAACTCATACAATAAATTTGGCACAATTAGATGAAGTGACCAATAAAAAACAAGGTCGTTGTAATTTGATTGCACGCAATTGAAATCATACGAGAATTGTAAGGACAGAACCATTTTGAATAATATATAATATAATCGACAAGTACATCAACAAAAAATGACAGATTAGTATAGGGGGAGGGGAGATTTGTGAAGATTGTAAAATTTCTCTTGTCTCAAATCATGGACTGATTTTAGCTAATCTATCACTGAAAACCTGAAAACACTGGACGGCTGGTTCGTTCAGGTATAGGACTTCTCAAAAATCTATAACATGGAGAATAATAAAAACAATATGTAGATGCAGAGAATTCAACTTAGTTCAAATATTTTTTTCGTATTGTCTCTTCTTATTTCTTTCTTTTTTCCAATAATACACTACTTATGACTTCAGTAACCTTTTATTTAAAAAAAAATAAACATAAAAAATGCATGTAGAAGTGCCGCATACATCCGTTTTTATTTTAAAATCCCATTTTTTGAAAAAGAAATAGTGGAAAATCAACTTAGTAGTTTTAGGAACGTCAATCAACTGATAAAAAAAGTAGTTAACTTAATGATATAATACTAACGACTTAACATTAAAATACAGAAAGTATTGAACGACAACTCTGATAAAATCTATAAATTAATTTTATTAACATAAATTAAGTTATCGTCAATTATGTATAGAGCCAAGTGAGACAGACCCAGAGCCATTCAATATAAGTATATTTAGGATACATTTTCCCTTCTGATTACAAAATATTGCTTCATATTTAGTCTGAGTTATTGCATAGATTTGAGCCACATGTTACGTAAGCATAATGTCGATGTGTTAGCGAAGGAGTGTATATACTGCACAGAATTCTGCTCATAACAAAACCTAGCACCAGTTCATGAACAAGTTGAATGAATTCAAGCCATGTTTTTTGATACAGATTACCTGCTTGATGTAGATGCAATAGCTGGACTTGTTAAGTGACATGACACAGTCAATCACAATGGTGAAGATGTATATCTCTTTGATCCTCTTTGATCTTAAGTAATAAAATTAGCTCATACTGCTTGATTTCGCAAACTTATCCATTCTACTTGAATCATATTATTGATACTATCACAACTTCTATAACTGTGATGTTCATCATGATAATTTCATGTCACTGTGTTGATATTGGTGCAGCAAATTGAACCAGCGCATAGTAATTGAATGTCCTACGTTTCTTATAATTGACTGACTACCCAGAAAATCTTACAAACTTGTAACTTCGTGTGATATTGATGAGTTCGGTCAAGAAATTCACTCCTCGATAGAATCCCATTATCCTACTCAATTTACGACACTTATTAATGATAATAGAAATAATAAAAATATGGTTTGTGTAAGATGATCACTTCGTATTAACCAATATCATGTTAAATTTGCTTTAGGATTAGATATAATCAATCAATTTTCAGAATGTTTACTTGGCTAAATTATTCAATTTTGTTGTGCATTCTGTTCAAGATTTCTTCTGATGACTTTTACACATTTTAGATTCATATGATGAACGGATCGATGTTAGACTACCATTGAAAACCTATAAGCACTGGAGGCCATTTCATCCTAATACAGGACTCCTTAGAAGTGTGTATTTACGATCCCGCACACGGAACTCAAGCCTAACATCTTCGGTTTTGCACGCAAATGCTTAAACTTAATATCTAACTTCAACCATCCACACATTTACCACAAAAATTAGGTATTAACGGTAGAAAATAAATAAGTGAATAATTTCATCTTGACATATTATCTGTGAACATGTTAATGTGAGAGTTAATCACCCCACCCATACATAGAAACATGTTTTTAACAAGATTTTTAGCCGATTATTTAAGAGTCATCAATTAGCAACTATTTCAAACTAACACATGAAACTTATTTCTTAATGATTAAATTGACATCAATTTTATTCATGACCGTTGTCTGATTTCCAATCAAAAGCGTAGTAAACAAAATTTACATGAGCACCTTGAGAGCACTATACTATTATACTATTACAATTAATTAAAATTACATCATAGTAAATTTTAACAGCCAAGTAATTTATGTAAGACAACTTTCTTATATATAGAGAAATACATATTGACCTTTATGTTTACTTCATTCATTGTACAATTACATTTATTTTTAATCTTAGTTAATTTTATGCAATGGACTTAATCTTGATTTCATCTTAACTGTTGAATATATATACATATAGATCTTCCATTATAAGCACCCAGTTAGATTCTAATATGTGTAGATGGTTGTTTTCTTACTAAACTTTTGTGATGAAACCTTTTCATTGAATAAATAAATCCCTTATAGTAGAGAATTCACTAACAACATCATTTGACTGTTGTTGTTGTTGTTGTTGTTGTTGTTGTTGTTGTTGTTAAAGTATTGTTTACATATGACGAAATTACTAAACGAGAAGTTTTATATTAATATAAATCAATGGATATGAATAATGAATTTGAATTAAACCATTGTCTACATAGATATTCTATGCTGTAATAATCAAGACATATTAAAGTCAAGTGAATGAATTCAGACTTCCTGGTCGGATTTATTCAAGCAGAGTTAGAAGTATGGAATCTATCTGTCATTATTTCATTTAGAGTACAACAGATTTTATTTTGTTATCCTCTGTATTTAATTAGAAACATCTACAGAATTGTTGGGGATGTCAAAATCTGCAGAACTTACTTGGTAAATGGCCTAATTTTGTAATTTTATTTTGAAGATTTGAATTTTTTTGTTTTCGCACCAAAAGCGCTCTTTTCACCTTCGAGTCGAATTTCCCACTTGTAAAATATCTTAAATGCTATTGGTCCGTTGTATCTTTGAGTGTGCTATTTTTTATTGCTGCCCAAGGACAATTTATCGTTGTATATATATGTTTGAGTTTTTCCCGTTACGATTGCTTGCACTACGGCTGCTTACGGAATATATTTTCCCCTACTTCGCCTTGGACTTCTTCCTCTAGTTAGCGGGGCCTGGGACAACGGATTAGATTAGCCTATTGTGTCACTGTGTCATTGACCTTCGCTCGTTTACCGAGAAATCGAATTAACATCAAGCATATCAAGAATATAGCAATTTGATTTGTTATCTTATTCACTAAATGCAACAGTTTAGTGTTGGTATAATATCCTTAAGGTGAATGGATTTAAAAACCCATAATTTTCAACTCAGGAAGCTTAGTAAAGTACTTTATTGTGTAGAAACCTAGCGAAACTCTGAAACTACTTGTTTAAGCTCCGTTTCAATGTAAGACGTTTCATTTATTACCTTATTTGTCAAGTACAAGCTGAAATAGTCTATTGTTCTATCTAGCCAGGCAAAGCTGATTAAAATAAGCCATTTAATTGATAAATTTGAACTTCCAAATATCTATTGTCATTAAGTTTAATTTTAATTTACCCAGTTGGGTATCTTATTTTTTTCTGATCATATTTTTTAGCGAGTTAGTTTTTCTACGGGATGGGGTCGTTAACTCCATACCCAACCCTCCTCCTTTATCTGGGCCTGGGACCGGCAGTAACTCTAGGAGAGCTACAGGCAGAGTTGGATGGTGTAAACTGATGTGTGGCCTATGCTCCTCCACTAGGGATAACAGGCGTAAGTAAGTAAGTTGGGTATATTAAAACAACGGGAATCTAACTAGTAGCTACTAAAAATGGAACTGTTCATTGATTTTTAACTCCTGATACCATTCGGTATAATGAAGTTATATCATCAATTTATAATTAATTAACATTAACACCGTTGAATGCAAGCTCAGTGGTCTATCGGTTAAGGGCTGTGGCTCGTAACTGGTAGGTCCTGGGTTCGAATTTCGCGAGTGCGGGATCGTGGGTGCGCACTGCTGAGGAGTCCCACAATAGGACGAAACGGCCGTCCAGTGCTTCCAGGTTTTCGATAGTGGTCTAGCTTCAATTGACTCATGATTTCAACTTTGAAATTAATGTTTAATTAAACAGTTTCATTTTCATCATTTTAATATTCACCGCTAATTTACTTACAATGATCAAATCTGTTTAACTGATTTAGTATACAAATCAAGATAATTATGATCAAATTATAAACAAATAACAATTAATATAATGAAAAAGTAAAAGAATTGATTAGTTTTTTGGTAACTTTTTTTATGATCAAATTAATTTCGCTTAGTAGAAATATGAGTCAATTATTTTTAATTTAAAGTTTAATAACTGAAGAATTACAAGGAAATCAATACCTTTTATTATATATGCTGTAAATTCATTATAGTAATATTGTGGTGTGGTCTACTTATATCCATATAAGTAGTATATGATGATGGTCAAACATAGAATGTATTTTGGCAAAAGACCGATAAGGAAAAAAACTAAAATGAAGCGCAATTGGTAGAAAAATGTATAAACAATGAAATTAAAGAAGATAGACTGATATTTGCAGAAGGAACAGTGAAGATTGAGACAATTGATTGTTATTTTGCGAATTAACTGTTTGCTTTATGGTTATCAGAATTTAGTGAGATAGTTTGTAATTTGAGCTTAAATACATTTGATTGTCCAAACTAGTGTTCTGTTTACTACAGTATGTATATTTCATACTTAGCTCGATTTCTTATGAATTTCATTTTGTTTTTTGATAATTCTGCCTAGTACAGTTTTATCATACATGATGATACCTTGATATTTGTTGTTTTCTATTATTGATGATTTCTAAATTTGACTACAGTCAATGCATACTGGGTATTGTTTTTTTTTCGTTTTGGTATCATATGTTGGCTTCATTTTAAATTATTAAGAAGAAATACGGATTCTTACTATTTTTATACTGGTACTACATGCAAATCATGTGGTAGCCTGCTTGAAAATCTGTGCTACCTGTTCATGTCATCTAGATATTTCAACAAGTTATCTAATTTTGTTGGTATTGATATATCATTATGGCTATTAATAGTATTGTGGTGTGGTCTACTTATATCCATATAAGTAGTATATGGTGTGGGTCAGACATAGAATGTATTTTGGCAGAAGATCGATGAGGAAAG